TTAAACTTACGTTATTTAACAAGAGGCCTTCTACTTGAAAGTGATTTCTGTTGTGACCATAAAAGGTCATTTTAAAATGAGAATTCCTGTTTTGCGTTAGGAGGGAGAGCCCTCTCCATGGTGGGAATACGTATGTTTTGGAAAAAGTGGGGCTTTCTTTGGGACATGTCCAAAGCTGGTGACTTCTCACAGAATCTTAGAGTTGTCTTAGCGCTCCTAGGCAGGAAGCAGTTGTACTGTGGTCCCTTTGCTCCCATAAGCTTAACTGCTATGTTCCTAAGAATAAAGTTTAAACAGAATCACAGTTTCTTATTTATAAGGAAACATCTGATGTTGCTGGTCACAAGGCATGGTCTGTTTCTGAAAGGTCCTTTGATACTGTGGTGATGAGAATGGTTTAAAAATTTCAGTGTAGTGTTTTCTGTTGGTGGTGATGGGGGAAAGCTGGAGTACTTAGATTTTGGTGTAAGCTCAGATACCTGTCAGCTGGGTTAGTCTGTGTGTAGGAATCTAAAAACATTCTTACAAAAGGCCCAAATGTCTGTGTGCAGTGAGGTGAATAGAGTCAAATAGGAAGAGAAGGAGCGCCTACAATTGTGAGCTTGCCATTGTGATCCACCAGCATTCATGCAATCACAGAATCGCAGACTGGTTTGGGTTTGAAGGGACCTTAAAGCTCATCCAGTTCCAACCTTCTGCCATGGGCAGGGACACCTTCCACTAGAGCAGCTTGCTCCAAGCCCCTGAACAACGCCAGGGATGAGGCAGCTACAGCTTCTCTGGGCACCCTGTGCCAGGGCCTCACCAGTCTTACAGGGAAGAACTCCTTCCTTACATCCAACCTAAATCTTCCCTGTTTAAGTTTGAACCCACTGAGATCAGATCAGCTTCACCCACTGCTTCTTACCTTCTGTGGGTTATTTTGCCTGCATCTTTCCGAGTCCTCTTCTCTCTCCTCCTCAAAGACACAGCTCCTGTCACAAGCTGTTGGGACTGATCCAGATACGTGTTGACCCAAGGAGATGTTTTTGTGGTGACGGATGGTGATGCATCCAGCCTTTTCACAGGTAGCTTTTGTTCAGTTCTCTCAATTTCAGCTGTGTGCAGCAGTTTAAATGAGGTGAACATACCTTCTAGGAGTGCTATATATATACTTTTGTGTATCTTCAGGTTTTGTTGCTGCTCTTGCAGCACTTTGGGAAGAGTGGTGGGGATACTTTTCACCTGAGACAGTATGCTGGCTTCATTCCCATTGATAGCTAGGTGTGCTGGAATGCTTATTATTTGGTTTGGGTGCACTGTTTTTGATGTGCTGCAAAAACCAAGCAAGTCTGGTATAATATTACTTAATTATTTTAATATTTCAATTCTGAACGCTTTGTTTCAAGCAATACACTGGCAAAAACTTATCTTCCTCTGACTGAAATTTGGCATTTTTGGTTATTGACCTAATTGTCCTGCTCAGTATAGCCACATGAAATGCAGCTTTCTGAACTGTCAGTGTAACTGGCAGGAAGATCAAAGTTACAAGCAGCTGATCTCAGATAAGAGGTTATAAGGATAGAATAATCGGATAAAGGGCAGTTGAAGAAATTTGACACTTGCTGTAAATCTGCCTCTCCCCATGTGTCCTTGATTTCAATAGTAGAATTTGCAAAGCCTGGGCTCATCTAGTTAGTTTAGTTATTTTGAGGGAAGGTATGAGATTTGGGAGTTTATTGTAAATAGGGTGTGTACTAACTTATTACATGAATGCAGGTGAAGGTTTATATGTGGAAATGAGTTTCTGTGACTCAGCTGATCATAAGTAGCTTGTTATATTGTTTGTGTGTTGATCTTATTTAAATTTATATACCCTGAAAAGTATATAATATAGATATTTTATATATCCTGAAACACATGTTCCTTTCTTCCAGTATGGTGAAAAAAAAATGTGTTTGGAGGAGATGCTGGATATAAATGGAGCTACTGCTAGAAAAAACAGCCCAGAATCTTCAGGTCAACTAATGTATTTGTCGAGAGGGTTTGAAATGAGCAATAAGTTACAAGACACCTTTTACTGTCAGTGAATGAAATTTCAGTTGCTGCTTCAACACAGTGCTAAAAACATTCCTGCTGAAACCAGGATTTTGTCTACATACTTTTTTTTCTTGTTAATTAAATAGAAATATGTAATGATGCTGAATTTTTCCTTTTGCCTTCAAATGTAATGCTGCATTTACATACATCTTTTATTTTTCTTTTTTTGTGGGTGTTTTCCACGTGAGTAGCCTTAAAATTATAGCAGATAATTTCATACACTTAATGTTCTTGTGTGCGCACTGGTGTAAAACATGGTGATGGAGGTGAGCTGATCAATAGGAGCTTTAGCTATTTAAATACAGTATCCGGTGTGGAGGGAAACTGTATCCTCTGGGAAGAATTAGCTTCCTTGCAACAACTCTAGTCTTTCTGGAATTTGTCAGTTTTTGCTTTAACGCTGTTTATAGTGCAGCATATATAAACACTGGCCTGTGTTTAGGTGAAAACACAAAAGTTTCATTTGAAGTCTGATGTGTGCAAAGCAGGTTTATTGCTTTCTTAAGCTTTCTTAAAGATACCCAAACAATTTCAGATTCTTCAGAGAAGTGTTGAAGCGATAGTTCGTAATAATCCACTGCACTAAAGATGTGTTTTAGACTGTGAAGCTACATCTGTTCTCATGAAAGGTCAGGAGTTTGTGTGGGTTTTTTTTCTTTTTTTTTTTTCTTTTTTTCCTTAAAGTCTGGGTTTGACCTTAAACTTCTGCCATGTGTTCATAGAATCCCAGCCTGGTTTGTGCTGGAAGGGACCTTAAAGCTCATCCAGCTCCTACCCCTGCCATGGGCAGGGACCCCTGCCACTAGAGCAGCTTGCTCCAAGCCCCTGTGTCCAACCTGGCCTTGAGCACTGCCAGGGATGGGGCAGCCACAGCTCCTCTGGGCACCCTGTGCCTGCGCCTCAGCACCCTCACAGGGAAGAGCTTCTGCCTAAGAGCTCATCTCAGTCTCCCCTCTAGCAGGTTAAAGCCATTCCCCTTGGCCTGTCCCTACAGTGAGGTGTGTGAGTTTCTTAGATGGCTTAGCAGGAAGAATTTGTTGCAGGGTGCACCTTGAGCTATGATCATTCTTTGTCAACACAGCTGACTGGGCATAATTTTCCGTATGGGAGGTTGTGACAAATACCTTGGGTGGCATTTACAGTGCAGCAGCTGCTGCAGCACTGAGCATCTGCCTCTGGCTCAGCAAGCCTGGGTTTTACTAACCTGTAGCACCAGTGCCACCCAGAATAAAGGCTGCTGCTAATTTACAAGAGTTTGCTGTCTGGAGCTATTGTATGAACTGCTAGCTGCAGGGGCAATTATAGTTCAAGGTGCAGGGATGTCAAGTAGGGAAGCACCCTCTTTTGTCATAACTGTATTTTTCTTCAGCTCATATTTGTGCTTTTTGTTACTGGGACAAAATCTGAACCTTCCATTCTTTAGTCTCTTGAATTAAGATACTCATCTTGAAGAACACTTGCAGTTCAGAAGAAAAGAGGACCACACACATCTTATGGTTTCCAAATGCCACATTTTATTTGGAGTATTTTTTGACGTATTGAGGCTAGTGGCCAAGCTTACAGGAGCCATTCAGTGTGGACATAAATAAGTGTTTCCTCTGAAACTGCTTGGGCTTTTGTGGTTTATAGAAGCTTTCTCAGAATCCAGCATGTCAAATAATGAACATGTGCAAATATGCAGCACTGGCTGTGCTTCAGGGGATGTAGAATGTGAGTGGTTTGGGAGCGTGAGTCAGGCTGGCTTGTTTTCAGCAAGGTGCAGACACATGTTTCATTCTTCCCTGGGCTTTGTGCATCAGGACTGGCTTCGCAGCTTGTGAAAGAAAACGGACTGAGACTGAAAATCCCCAGTAGCAGTCAGAAAGTATGGTAATGGAATCATAGTACAACTAGGGTTGGAAAGGACCTTAACTTCATCTAGTTCCACACCAGCTGCCATGGGCAGGGACATCTCACACTGGGCCTTGTATCCCAGGGCTCTATCCAACCTGGCCTTGAACACTGCCAGGGGATGGAGCATTTACTGCTTCGTTGGGCAACCCATTCCAGCGTCTCATAAATACAAAATACAAAATAAATACAATTTATTAGCAGGTGTCACTGTAAATTCAAATCTGGTTTAATAGATGGAATCATTAGAGTGGGAACCCTTTCTCGTTATCAGGGATCCTAGTGATAGGACAACAGGTAATGGTTCAAACTTAGACAGGGGAAGTTTAGATTGGATATAAGGAGGAGGTTCTTTACCTTACAGTAAGGTGGTGAGACACTGGAATGGGTTGCCCAGGGAAGCTGTGAATGCTCCATCCCTCCATCCCTGGCGGTGTTCAAGGCCAGGTTGAACAGAGCCTTGAGTGACATGGTTTAGTGTGAGATATCCCTGCCCATGGCAGAGGGGTTGGAACTGAATGATCTTAAGGTCCTTTCCAACCCTAACTATTCTATGATTCTATGAAAAAGAAATGTTACAGATAAATGGAAGTGAAGGATCTTACCTAACAAGAATTGGCACTTAATACATGGGAAGAGCATAGAGTGCTCTGTGGATGATGGTACTAAATTAATCTCTTTCTTTGGAAGTTGCACATCTTGCTCTGAGAATGGGTTTGTCTTTGATTCTCATGTACATGCTGTCAACCCCTTCATTCTAAATGAGGGCTGTTTCTGTGGAAGTTCATGAATTATTTCTTTGTTTGAACAAGATTGTGTCCTTTTGTTTCAGTCTTGAGAATGTGCATCTTAACATTTTTGTGGTTGGTTTGTTTTCTGACATAACTTTATTCCATGATGTTGAGATTTCCAAGTGCTTAATGTGACCTTTTCAAAGGCTGGATTATTGTTCCTATTTTAGGCAAAAATGTTATTTCTTTTCCTGTGCAGAACATGAATAACATTTTGATTAAATCCTTTATGTTCAACAGAATCTGTCTATGACCTTCTCCCAAAGGAGCTGCAGTTACCACCTTCCAGAGAAACATCTGTAGCATCCATGAGCCAAACAAGTGGTGGCGAGGCAGGTTCGCCGCCTCCAGCTGTAGTTGCTGCTGGTAAGTGTTCTCATTTATTCAATTACTTTAAGGTTGGTAACGTTCTGGCCAACATGAACAGTGCTGGCAAAGTTTTAATTGTGAAAAAGAGCATGTCGAGAAGTATCAGAGTTCATTCTAGGAGAACTCAGTATAAATTATGCTGGGTGATCTAAATTATCAGGTATTCTGTTTTAATTTGCTGTATTTCATCTGTGTAGATATTTATTTTCATAAGAAATAAGTTACTTGTGCTGTTATTATCAGCACAGACCTGTTAACTCCTAGAATGCTCTCTGACTTCAGTGGTAGTAAATTCCTGCTTGGAAATAAGGGACAATTCCGACCGACTAAACCAGCGAATTCTAGGTAGGATAAAAAATGGAATGGGAGATTACATTTTGGGTGATGAAGCTTTTGCCAGACTAAAGGAGGAAAAAAGGTTGTGTTTTCCTTTAAGAGGCCTGAGGAAGCTTAGTATTTAAACTCCATTCACACATATTACAAAATTCTCAAATACGTGAGAACAGAGTATATGTCAGGATGGCACTTTCATAAACTGTTAGGTTAGAATTAGCTACTTTTTCTAATTGACAGCATATAAGAATGAGGCATGACCTTTTTAGCTTCATCTTTATCTTGCTCCCAGTCATGTTTCAGACTTTAGTCTAAAGATGCTGTCGCTGATCTTCATTAAACATAAAAAAGTGAGGATTTAAGGACAAAGTTAGGTTAGCGTTAGTGCTGGTTTGCATTTGGAGTTCTTGTCAGTAACTTGTATGTTCTAGTAAATATATGTGCAATGGGGAAAAAATCATTATGCTCAGGACAGATGCATTTTTCTTCATTGGATGAGGAAGTTTTTGCATAATTTGATCCCTGTATTTCTTACAAGGTCATGTTCCACTTTCCTAATTGGCCTTAAATTGTTTCTTGAGAAAAATGTGTATATTTAAGGCGAGGATTCAGATAGCTGCAATATTCTTTTTTCTCTATATCATATGCATTAAATGTTTGTGTGAGAATGTTTCCCAGATTTGCATGGTACAGGAATCGTGTTCAGAAACTGAAGTGATTGTAGACGTGTCAGAGAAACTTTACAGCACTGCTCACCATTCATGTTTTGCTACACCTCTTCTGAGAGAACCTGTGGATTTAACTGTGCACAGTGGAACTTCGGTTATTGAAAGAATTTGATGGGTTTATTTATTATATTGAAAGGATTTGATATTTTTCTATCACTTATTAAAAATAATCTGAGCAATATATTTCTAAAATCAGGATGCTTAATGATCAGTTTGGTTTAAAGACACAGCAGCAGCCAAATCCTGTAGAAGCATGTATTGTAAAAACAAGTAAACAAAAGAGAACAATCCCACAAACCCTGTTACACTCTAAATCCACAGATAGACGTGAACTGCTAATTAATTCTGAATCTAACAGAGAAGACTTAAAAACTTGAATGGAACTAAATGTCTGCTACCTCCAGGTATTTCGTGTCTGCTTACAGCCAGTCCTGTTCCTTTTAAAAAACTAAGAACACATTAGCTGTGTTTGGGTTAAACTGCAGCACAATTTTATTGAATGAAAAAGTTAAATAGTGTTGAGATTATTTTTTTTTTTTTTGTTAACTCACAAAGGAGACCCACTTGTTCAATTAAGAACACATTTCCATGTCAGAGAGTCGTGTAGTTTCAGAGACTTCAGGGTGATACCACTACCCAAAGTGTGTGCTGTGTCAAGAATCTGCTCCAGGTTAGAGTTGACACTGGTGGGTCCACTGTGGGTCAGCACAACTGCTTTTGGTGGCGCAGGATGAGGATTGATCTGGAAAAGAGCAGCCAGAAAAGGTGGAGGTAGCTGGTGTCCATGTCTTTCAGCTTGTGCAGTTTGAATTGTTTGCTGACCCATGGCTTTGGAGACCTTCCAGAGGTGTGATGAAACAGTTAAGTTCCTGGGTGCTGTGTAAGTGAGAAGTATTAAGCACAAGCAACTAGAGCTGTTAAAAGTTGTGTTCAAAGAAAACTAACCAGCCAGACAAGACCCCCCAAACAGAGCCAAGGCAAGTTTTGTTTTCATTGCTTATGTCACTGTGCACTACAGTGAGGACAAAACCAGTGCGCCCTCAGCAAGTTTGCCGATGACACCAAGCTGTGTGGTTCTGTTGATATGCTGGAGGGAAGGAATGCCATCCAGAGGGACCTCGACACGCTTGTGAGGTGGGCTGATGCCAACCTCATGAAGTTTAACCATGCCAAGTGCAAGGTCCTACACCTGGGTCGGAGCAATCCCAGGCACAGCTACAGGTTGGGCAGAGAAGAGATTCAGAGCAGTCCTGCGGAGAAGGACTTGGGGGTGTTGCTCAATGGGAAACTGAACATGAGCTGGCTTCAGTGTGTGCTCGCAGCCCAGAAAGCAACCGTATCCTGGGCTGCATCAAAAGGAGCGTGACCAGCAGGTCGAAGGAGGTGATCCTGCCCCTCTACTCTGCTCTCGTGGGACCTCACCTGGAGTATTGTGTGCAGTTCTGGTGTCCTCAGCATAAGAAGGAAATGTAACTGTTGGAACAAGTCCAGAGGAGGCCATGAGGATGATCAGTTGGGGCTGTTCAGCCTGGAGAAGAGAAGGCTGCGTGGAGACCTCATAGCAGCCTTCCAGTATCTGAAGGAGCCTATAGGGATGCTGGAGAGGGACTCTTCATTAGGGACTGTAGTGATAGGACAAGAGGTAACGGGTTAAAATTTAAACAGGGGAAGTTTAGATTGGATATAAGGAGGAGGCTCTTTCCTGTGAGGGTGGTGAGGCACTGGAATGGGTTGCCCAGGGAGTGTGTGAAGACTTCATCCCTGACGGTGTTCAAGGCCAGGTTGAACAGAGCCTTGGGTGGCATAGTTTAGTGTGAGGTGTCCCTGCCCATGGCAGTGGGGTTGGAACTTGATGATCTTAGGTCCTTTCCAACCCTAACTGTTCTATGATTCTATGAATCCTGTCCTTCTGTAAGAGGGTAACTGTTGACTAGGGTCACTCAGTAGTGAGTTGTGCTGTGGACATGCATAAGGAGAGGCAAGCCCCAGCCCGAAGTAGCTAGGGCTGGTTATCGGGGAGTGGGTGCCAAACCCTGTAGGTGTTGGGGAAGGTTCAGCCAGTGGATTCTATCAGATAGTTTCAGTGTAAGATGTTAGGGGTGTCTTTGTTTTTATGTGTGCTTGTCATAGAATCCTAGAAGGTTGGAAGAGACCTTTAAGATCATCAAGTCCAACCATTATCCCAGGACTGCCAAGACCACTACATACTTTTGTTTTTTTTTTCCCTACTTCTCGATCCCATCCTCGAAAGAAAACACATGGATCTTGGACAAGTGTTTACCAAAACAGGTTCATAGACTGCTCCAAAACTATAGGGACAGAGCAGAAGGCTGAAAAGAGCAGTTCCTGCTCCTCTCTCTGGTGTTGGAAGGTAAGAGAGATAGATAATATGTAAGATATAATATAAACCAAGGGTGGACATGTCCTTCTTCTGGTAAGTCTGAGGCCAGACTTTCTCTTTAAAGCTGGAGACAAAGTGTTAGGAATAGAGAAAGGAATATCAGTGTGTACAAAAGTTGTAGGTTGGGGTACAAGAAGTGGACCCTATTGGATTGTTTTATAGTCATAGTCCCCCCTCCTAAAAGTTCCTGCTGTGTAGTGGGCAGCTAGGATTCCTCCTATAAGTCATCTTGAACTCAGCACTTCTGAACTGATGGTGGTACCTACAGCACATGGATACCTTGGAGCAGGAGCATTCTTCAGTGTTCTCAGCTGACTTTAAGAATCCCAGGAGCGCTTTTGAGGTTAGCTGTGTGTTCTGCACCCAAATCTCTGTTTTATCAATAAACTGAATGCGAGTGTTTTGGCTCCATTCTTGCCTTAACTGTACCATATTTCTAGATAAGAGGGTGTATTGCATTTTCCTATTTTCTTTAGTTTCAGGATTGCTACAGTCTCTGAATAGTTGCTACCATATTTTCAATCCCCGGCACCCTGCCTTGTGTAATAATGAGAAGTTTGGCTGGCCTGGGCTCTGATTTCTTAACAGGAAAATAAGAGGAAAATCAGCCTGGGCTTTGTGCATGTCTATATACTTGTACAGGAAAACAGACTTTACATGTCTGTTTTAAAAGACCAAAATAGACTATTAATTTGCTGATGTCAGGTCCTAATAGCAGACTTGTAGGCACATTTCTGAGGATCTGACACTGTACAGATGAGAGGATGAGGAGGAAAGATGACTTTGGCAACTTAGTGTTCCGGAATTGGAATCTTTGGTTTGTGTAAGTCTTTCTTTTTCTTTTATTTTCTTCTTTTTTTTTGTGTCAGCTCATGCTCTAACCCATCACTTTATTTGGGAAATGACAGTTCAGTCTCCATAGCATTGCAGGTGATTTCATTTACTCTTGTTTTTCAAAGGATGGGGTGATTTGAAATGCTGCTAGCAACACTGTAGGTAGAAATCAGTTGCAGATACGATTACTCTTAATAAGGAGAGGATTATGTTACAGGGAATGAACTGAAGTGGTGAGAGGTTTTTATTACTCTCATAGTTAACACAGTTTGTTCTCTTTCCCAAAACACAAGAGTAAGGTAGTATCTGGCTGAAATTCAACTTACTTGTGGCTTTTTTGTTGGTCACTGTGCTGTGGGGTTTTGTTCTACATAAATCACATTATAGGTGAGAAATAGATATTGCTGCAGTTAACTTCTCTTTTTTTTTGGAGGAGCAGGATGGGCTGTTTTTAGCAGCAATGACCTTGCATGGGCAGACTTCTAGTTCTTCCATTTGGAAATTTGTTTTGTGATTTACAGAACAGTTTTAAGAGTATTATGTTGCTGATTGGATTTTAATTGTTAATAAATGTATATCTCATATTAATTAATCCAGAGAAAAGGTATTACCCACTCTCTGAATATCGAACAGGCAAGTGTCATTTAAAAGAACTCTAGGATTTTGAGTTGCGATGTTCACAAACTGAGCTGCTCTCTCAAGCTTCTAATTCTGTTATAGTTCTGAAAGGCAGAAGGGAAGTGAAGGATCTTGTTTTACTGCTAGAAACTGTTATCGGAATCACAAGTGTCTTTGTTCAGGGGACAGGAAAAGGAGGATTTTGCCTGGTGAGGTACCATAAGCACATTAAATATGAATCATCATCTAGACTCTTGAAATGCATGAGGGTGTCATGCTGAGAAATGTCATTGTAAGCTGTGCTTGGAGATTTCTACACAATATTTTTAAGCTCCTGTTGCAAGGGGGGATGCTTGATTCTTTCCTGTTGGTTCTTAACGGTTAAGCAGTTTTTTCTTGTTGATCAAGACACATTGAACAAGTGCTTCAAATGCTCAAAATTCACACTGCTGATTTAAGCCTTTTATCAAAGGTGTCTATTTCGTTGGTAGATCAACACCTTATTCTTGTCCTTTGGGAATGATTCAGGAATATTTTTGACCATGTAATTTAAACAAGTCTTGCATTTTCACCTTTTATCTCCAGTAACAGGAATGCTCAAACCTTCTGAAACCCCAGTGAAGAAAACTGTTGCAGAAACTTTCTTCTCTGCTTACCATCCATTCTTCCTGTGGCAGATCTCGGGATGAGCTGCTTCAGTTTGCTGTTGATGCTTTAAGCTGCTCTCCATTTGCCACTGAGGCAAATATATTTATTTTTTCATATTCTTTGCACTGCTCCCTAGTACAGTATTTCTTGCTTTGCTTCCATCCTGACAGTTCCCAGTTCTTAAATTGAATTTTCCAGAGCTGTAGCAAAAAGGGAACAGATTTTATGCTATTATAATGTATTTACTGATCTCTCTTTGCATTTTTCGTATTTGGATACAAATAACCTCTGATGTATTGATTTTTTTTATTTTTTTTTTTTTCTGGCTCTCAAACATCTATGATTATGTCCTGGGAACACATTTGGTAAAAAGTTAAGCTCTACGTTTTTGTGATCGTGTCAGTTTTGTGCTCCTTTTTAATTAAAGGGACAACTACTTGTCCCAAGCAGGCATAATTGGCTTTTTTGATTAGAGTTGTTATTTAAGTACTTGCCATAAGCATTTTTTGTCATTTTAATCATGAAAATAAGGCTTTGCCTCTCAATTGCTACTGTAGAGAAATGGATAAAAATACTTGCATCCTCTGTGGGGTAGAGGCTGGGTGCTGAGGGGTGTGGGAGATGTTTTCCACTGCCAGGACAAGGCTTTTTCATCATTCTCAAGCCAAAGTTTCTAATAAAGCCTCAGAATGGAGATGTGGATGGTTTGTTTTGTGTGTACAGGTTTGTTTTTTTTTTTTTTTTTCTGAATAGCTAGTAGAGCTTCTTTATTTTTATTGAAAATATTTTGTCAATTTATCATCCTTCCTGGTGTCGTTAGTCAGTTTTTCCTGTTGATACAGAAATAATTACTAGAGATTTCAAAGGGGATGTCAGTGCTGCTACTAATTCTATTATCCGAGGGTTATAAGTACATATTATAAACAAATTACAAGAAAAAAGCATTATTCTTTGTAGTTGGTCTATAAAAACTTCCATTTCTTTGTAGGCTTTTCCCTTCCTCTTCCCACCGCCCTCCCAGTTGGAAACGCCTTCCTGTAATTTCCTAGGAGGATGTCTTCCAGGGATTTCTGTCTGCAGCTTGCTTGCTTCAGTCATGTGTCAAATGCTTTTTTCTTACAGAATTAATTTAAACCAGATCCTAAAGTTCTTTAAAAAGGCATCTTCCTGGTGCTGTATGTTTGTACAGTGCCTGGCTGCTCTGTCTCGCTAGTGCTAACATAGATGTGAACAATTTTAATGATTTTATGTGCCTTCAGTGCATATGTTCTCCTCTGCGTGGAGCAGAGCTCCCTTATAATTACCTCTTAAAGGTTATGTAGATGTACTCTACATCATCTCTTTTTTCCTAAATTAAGCTTATTTCAGGTCTTCCTGAATGTCATACAGTCAATAAACCCAGCTTTCCAGAACTGCTCAAACGCAAGTTGTTTTATCCTTCTGAGAAACGTTTTGTTAATAGCTAATTCTTGCAGTAAGTGGCTCCTATTCTTGCATCAAAAGGCTTGAGAATTACTTTGCAATAAGAGAATTGCCTGTTCCTTAATGAGTAATGAGAACCAAAGCCAGTGACAGGCAAAAAGGGAACAGCCTTATTGTACTGTTGTGGGGGCACCTCCTTGCATCAAAGGCTTTGTGAAGGCCAAGAGGCGTCCTTAATTTTTTAGGGAAAACCCAAGAACAAAAGAGTCTGTTTCTTCAGTTGGGGTGTTCTTTGTCAGATCCATCAATCTTGACACAGCCATACAGTCCCTCATTTAGGGTGGCAGGAGCTGAGGAGATGACAGGTAGAGCTTCAAGAGAGCAGCTGAGGGTCCTAGAGTTCTGACTTGCTTGGATGCAGCTGGTTATTGCTCTGAGTGGGGAATGATGTAAGATACATGGAATTGGTGTGTGTGAGCCACTAACAAAAGCTCTATTTAAATACCTAGAGTGTTAATTTAAGAATGGATGTAATTTATAACAAAACCAGATTGACTGATGTATTTACCCAAAGTATAATACACTGCTTGGTTCAGCATGTGAATGTAAGGGGAATTTACACTGTTGGGCTTAATGTACATTAAATTAACCTACCTATCTTGAATCTAAGTGTTTTTAATAACTGGTGAATTGGATTGCTTTATTTTATTTGCTGGGATGCTAGTTTTTTTCTCTATTAATACACTTAACTTGCATTCTAGCTTCGCCATTCAGAGACAGGCATCGAGTGGTGGGTTGTGTGACAGTGTCTGTCAATAGTGAAGACAAATAGTGCCAGAGACATTTAACCCATCCAATCTCACCCAGGGTATAGGTCGGTCTTGTTTTCAGACTTCTTCATAAGTCTCTTTTCTTTCTTCCTTTTTTTTTTTTTCTTTTTTTTAAAATCTTTTTTTTTTTATTTATTTCTAAATAGTGAATTGATACTGATTTGAAACTTAACATTTTGGAAAAGTTTTTGACATTACATCAGTAATATGAGAAGAAGAAAAGTAGAAACCCAAGTTTGGCATGTGAGGTGTTGAAAGCAGGTTTGCAGCCACTTTGTAAGTTCTGATGTTTACCTTTCAAACCTTTGGCAACACAAGGGCTGATGGTAGAAATTTTGCACATAGTACCCTGTGGTTTTGTTCTGAAATTGTCATTCTGTGTTCAGATCAACATGGGAAAGTCTTATTCAAGAACATGACATAAATTAACAAATGTAATAAATGTGTATACTTAATATATTAAGCCTGTACATCACCTAAACCTCACCCTGTGACTTTCCTTTTTTGACACTTAATTGTTTTCCCAACACAGTATAGGGATCACGTGGGATGCAGGTTAGGCTCTGAGGAAGAGTTCTTTAATGGCTTTTTGCTAGTCCTGGCTGTTCATGCACAGGTGGCTGAAAAGCCCATGAATCCCAAAATATCTCCACTTATTTATGTTCACAATCTTAAGCTTTCCAGGCTGGGAAATGACTTGCTTTGCACTCCAGCTGCAGTTAAGAAACAAAAGTCATCAGGACGCTATTTGTTTCGTTTGGAGGACTTGGTAATCCTTGTTGTATTAAAGGATCTCTTTGGAAAGAGCAAACAAGGATTTCAGGATTGGCTCCATGTAAGTGTTATCTAAATGGAAGATTCCCTCAATGCCAGGTAGTCATTTTTTTGCTTTCTCCTGCCTTTCAGATGTTTTTTTAGAGGCTGAATGCCTTGTTTTGACTTCACAAGTTAATACGATATAGAAATATGTGTCATTGCCTTAATTGCTAACTCAGGGGATAATAAGTTTTCTTTGTACAATGCTTTATGTTACTGAAAAGAAAAAGACTGCACTGATTTGCTCAATGGGATGCTCTTTTCTCTGTGTTCCCTTAGTTTTTGATATTGTATTAGCCTGTGATTTTTAGCAGCATGTATTTGTGCTACACGCATGTTGTAGCCCTTCTTCCACTGCCTGCTTTTTGGCTGCTTTTTGTTTTCAGAAGGATCCTCAATTACTCGGTCTGTTGGTTGTGAATGTAATTCTGTTCACTGCCTGAAAATGAGGGAAATGGTTGGGAGCAATAGGCACCTCTTTTGATTTCCTGAGAGGCAACGGTACAATGACTGGTAACACGAACAACTGGAATTTCTTTGAACTTTAGTCTTCCTTGGAGTTGTGCAGAGTAATTGGTTATCTTTATTTGCATTCTGAACTCCAGCACTAAGCACTTAGTTTGTTATTTCTTGGTTATTTCCTCTCTTTGATTTACACGTTACAGAATTGCTTATTATTGATGTGTAAATTATGAAGTCCAAAACAGACCGAGAACATCCTTATGCTGAACTGTTTGTTACCATTCTGCCTCTCCTGGAGATAAAAGGCTTGTAGGACAGACAACAAATTCTGAATTATTTATTTTACCTACCTTAAAAGTTACAGTGATGGCAATGAATAGATTCAGGGGGTTTAGTTTCAACAGTGATCAGACTTGCTCTAACTTGGAAGTAGTCTTCTCTCTCGATTTTTTTTTTTTTTTTTTTTTTTTTTTTTTTTTTTTTTTAAATTAAAAAGAAAAAAAAAGGAAAAAAACAACCTTGTGATGCTGGTGCACGTTTCATTTCTAATAGTGTGGCTGCAGTCTTGCCATAACATGCACTTGGCTTCTATTCAGTGCTAAAAAGCCATTTTTATTTTGAGGTTCTGTTGAAATATATCCAGTCTTATATTTCAAAATGTACATACTCACTTAACCTATATATTTGTCATTGCAAGCTCTGTTAAACTGCAATTCAAAGAGCCACCTGTAACAATTCCAGTTATTATGTGTCTAAAGAAAATAACATCAAATAAAAGAAATGCTGAAACTGGGGAAGGGGTGTGTGTTTCCATTCCAACCTGACAGACCAGTGACCAGGTACACCCTGCATTGAATGGCCACTATGTATTTGGGTGGTGTCTGCGCTTCATTCTCAAAACCAGGAAATGCAAAATGCTCTCCCCTTTTAAAACAATACCAGTCCAGTCTGAATTACTGAAAACTTCATAATATTTTTTAATTTTTTTTTTAACCCCTTCCTTATGCAGCATATTCAACCAACAGATCTCTTTTGGGTGTCACATACCTGTGTGTCAGTGTGTTGTCACTGGCTTTAGAATAAACTGATAAAACCAAATGGGAGCCATGAAATATCCAGTGGTTTATTCTTTACAGTAACTTCATTAATTCTTTTTGACCCCATTTACTTACTAGTTGTTAAAAAAAAAAAGTTCGAAAGAGGATGTGTTGGCTAAAGGCCTGCAGACTCCATGAGAAAACATATTTTACTGTGTTTCTCAGTATTTGCAGCTTAAAATGTTGCTAAAGCAGTTAATAATTTATCTCCCAAAATAGATTTTAGAACACTCAAATACACAGGTTTAATATATCTAGTGTATTTCATTGGCTATATTCCTTTCTTACATTTTTTAATTACTATAATAGAGAAGACACTGGCCTGGACATGCTTTAAAACACTTGCATGTTTATGGATGGTAATGACATTCGTCTGAGAATATGTAAGGCTAAAGAGAGGTTTTCTTGCCATTACTGTTTAGCTTGATGTTGTTTTGATACTCTAATCTTTCTGTTACACAGCAGTGTCTCTGGTAGATGGAGGAGAGTATAACCAATTTATAATGGACAGTATTTCTTTCCTTTGTAAAGGTACAGAGGAAGAACATACACCAAAGACTCATACACATACATGCTTTTTAACTTCTAGGCAAAAAAAAAAATGGAGGAAACAGTGATTTATTTATTTTTTCCTAGAAAAGTGAGGGGAAAAATACAATTATTGAATTTCTGGGCAGGATATGCATTGAACCATTTGATAGCAGGGTATGGTCAGTGTTTGACATACTTGTTCCAGTGCAGACCATGTCCCTTTTAAGTTTTTCTTTCAGGTCTTTTAAAAGACCTTTCTAAAACATTCTCAATATTTGCTGCAAAAAGAGAAGTTTTTGATAATCTTGGAGGAGGAGTCTTCCAGTTCAAGAGCCCTGCTGCCTGGGTCAATGTACATAATTACTGATTTGTTCAAGTCTTTGTCATGCACAGGCAAACACAAGAGGTGCATACACTGTGTTGTACTGTGCATGATACTCAGTTTCTTCCATTAAAAGAAGAATTAATTTGAAGGAAAATATTGCTATTCAGTAATCCAGTTCTGCAGCATTACTGCCATGTGCCATGTGTTACCATTTGCCAACACTTGCATGCAGCATATATGCTGTATGTATGCTGCTTATTTCCGCAGTGTGGTTTCTTTCTGTTTGAGTGTATAAATGATGAATGGAAACTAATTCTATTTAACAAACCAAAGTAAACATCCCAAATAGCAAAGGTCTTTCTCAACTCAAAGTGGCTGCAAATCAGCTCCTAAATATTGTCCCTGAAATTAATATCTAGATTTAATAGTTCTTGCGAATTCTGTGTTTTTGAAAAACAGCATTGCATTAATGCATGATATAGAAAGGATAAATTCACCTTTAAATTGGAATGCAGTTCAAAGTGACTGAATTCTCCCTATTTCAGCCACTATATTTGCCAAAGAACAAACTGGAAAATGGAACTGGTATCATTCATCTGCTCCTGCTTCACTGGGAGGTTTGGGGAATGGACTTCCTATGAAGATAAGAGCAGAATAGTTTATGGATAACCTGTAATGACCACTGAATTTGACAGTCTGAAGTAGCATAGGTTTACTTTTAAATTCACTTAGCATGGAAAAGTTGTAAGAAATGGTACTGTTTTAAAAAATCTGTATCATCACTCATTGATCCTCCTGGTAATCACAAGTAGGCTGATTTATAGAAAGGCTTGCTGCATTTTATTGTTAACTAAATACATACGTCATGGCTGAACATGCTTTATTCTGTTACTTTTAAATTGCTTAAACTGGATAAGATAGTTAAACTATCTGAATCTTTTAGTCTTGAGAGGTTAATATAATATTTTGGATTAAAAAAAAAATCCTCAACAAGAAGGAAGCCATCATGTTCCTCTTGATAATAGGTATTACCTCTATGACACCAGTAATTACGTGAACAAACATACTGGATAAGTACGTAGATATATTATATACAATTTGTTTGCAAAATTAGATTATTTCTGTGGTTCTGGTTTATTGGTGCAAGATGTGGTCAGCAGGGCAGAAATACAATAAATAGCAGCTCCCTCTCAGGAAGCTTATATCTGGCTATAAAATTCAGTTTTCTGTTTCTTTAAATCAGCTGTGTGTCACTGAGGAATCAAGACTTAATGTTTGTTCATACTGCTTCCTCTGAAGTATTTCAGCTTAGGCTTTCACCTGATCTGTCCATTAAAATTCTTCAGTGGAAATGATTATGTTGGTGTCCAGAAATATTCAGAAGTTTGTTTTAATCATTTAGTTGTTCTCCCATGTTTCTAAACCAGATTGATCTGTGCGACCTCTGGAGGAGTCACAATCATGTTCTTTAAAATACCTTACTTCCTATGAACTTCTTGGAGGTCTGTCCCAAGCTGTCTCTGTCTGCATAAGGGACTTGGCTGATAAAGTCTGAGAGAAATCTCTCAGTGTCTGAAAGAGTCAAATTACAGAAATTTCACATTGTCTTGTATCACCATGTCACCAATACAGATACTTCATCCCTGTTTTGAATGTTCGAAAGAGCTGTCATAGTGACTGATACCAGTTCCATTTTGCCTCCCAACTCAGTTGATTTTATATTTTATTTCTCATTTATGATGGAATAATCAGCAGCTCTTTTTCTCATTTATTTTCTCATATTTTTATTCCAGGATTTGCCTCTGAAGCAGGGAGTGTCTGCATTAAAAATGACCTGTAGTTCTCTGCTTCATAGGTTAGAAACTTATTTTAATACTTTGTGGCTAAGCACAGTCCCGTCTCTTTCAAAAATAAAAAATTCCAACAATAAATGGTTTAATTGGCATTGAATGTGGATTATAAGCATTTCGCATTGGGGCTTCCATTATTTTTAGATGAAATGGCTTCTACACAAATAATTACTCCAGCTGAGGCAATGAAAGCTGTGTTTGCTTAGAGCCATTTTTATGAATTAACATTACACTTTAAAAGCGTTGATTCCAGTGGATCATACTAAGTCTCATTTGGACATTTCCAAAGTAATGTATTGGTTAGGCTGTATTGCTTTAAGCATTTACATTCTAAAATTTACCAAATTCCAAATATTTGTTGGGGGAAAGAAATCTGTTCATAAATCACTTTGTGTCAATGGGACTGCTATAGCCAGCACACACAGAACCATGTATCTTGTATTTACTTCTGAATTATACACCGCAGATGCTTCTTCAGCTCCTTCCTCTTCCTCCATGGGCGGTGCTTGCAGCTCCTTTACCACCTCTTCCAGTCCTACCATTTACTCTACCTCAGTCACCGACAGCAAGGCTATGCAAGTGGAGAGCTGCTCCTCAGCCGTGGGGGTAAGTACCAGAGGGGTAAGTGAAAAGCAGTTAACCAGTAACGCAGTCCAGCAGCAGCAGTCAACGCCGAAGAGACACACAGTCCTGTACATCTCGCCACCACCTGAGGACTTGCTGGACAACAGTTGGATGTCCTGCCAGGATGAGGGGTGTGGATTGGAGTCAGAACAGAGCTGCAGTATGTGGATGGAGGATTCACCCTCCAACTTCAGTAACATGAGTACCAGTTCCTACAATGATAACACTGAGGTGCCACGTAAATCACGCAAACGAAATCCAAAGCAGAGGCCAGGGATCAAACGTCGAGATTGTGAAGAGTCCAACATGGATATATTTGATGCCGACAGCGCCAAAGCGCCTCACTATGTCCTTTCTCAGCTCAGCACGGACAGCAAAGGCAACTCAAAAGCAGGAAATGGGTTGGTATCTGTTTGTTTTTTTTTTTTTTTTTTAAATAAAGTTTTATCACCATATGTAAAACCAAACTAATAAAACTCTCCCCATGCCCAGTCAAGTGTTCTACTTAGGTTCTCACATAAATCCTTTCTCTTCTCTGCTGTTCCCTTTTGCGTCCTAGCCTTTTGATAAGGTTTGATTAGACTTGGTAGTCCTTATTTAGAAGATAAAGCTGAACTTCCCTACAACAATTGACGCAGCACCGATGAGCTCATCTGTATTGTTATTTAAGTGAAATTCTTCAAAGATTGCACAATTCCATTTATAGAATGGCACTGAAAATGCATTTGAAAAGAAAAGCAGAAGCGGACTGGACGCACCCTAAATCTTAGTGGGTTTTGTAGGATTTTATGTGAGGATTTCAGTCTGTACACTTTACCTGCTTCTGTTTGTCTCTCTATTTACCAAATAGAGAGAGTTATGAGAGAAGAAGCAAATGGCTTGTTAGGATTTCTCATCATTGGACTTAACACATGCTTTACTTTTTTATAAAATGTTAATAAGGTGAACCAGATTTTGTTTCTTCTTGTGAATTCACTTCTGTATTTTGTTTTTTTCAGAAATAAATCTCTAATCCTGTTTCTCTCTGTGCTTCTGGGTTCTGTGCATGCGTGTGTCTGTACGTAGGCACGCTGGGTGGTGGTCTCTCATCTCTCCCACTTTCACACTCTTCACTAAATGCATTTCAGTAGTTGCTTAAAGAGGAAAAACTCCATCAGTTTACAGTAGTGTGTTGATACATTTTTATTTTTTAACTTGTGGCTTCTTTAGTACTTTTAAGATGATTGAGTGGATAGATTTGGCTTTTTTTGTTTTGTTTTTTTCTTTGTGGGGGGAGTGTATTTTGTTTGTTCTATATACGTGCTTGCAGTACATTCTAATGTTCATCACAGTAATGGTGAATATGAAAATCTGACAGATGGGAAGGATTATGAACTTCTCATATTCCAAAGGGAAAGAGCCTGGAGTCTGTATTCCCAGGGTCATTGCAGTTCCATACTTAAAATTTCACTGTGAGAAAGTGATTCTGAGAAACTCTCCAGAGTACTGCTGCTCCCTGCCTGCTGGGTATCACATCAGGGCCCATGGAGCTACCTGGTACCAGGAACGTTGGCTCTGCCATTGACCTGTGTGTCTCCTGGTGTCTCTGTATAGCAGACACTAAGCTTGGCTGCAGTTGTCCAGCATCTCGTTTTCACCACCTGAAATCAGTGTTAACAAAGTAAAACCTTAGTACATGGTAGACCCAAAGAAGCAAATTAGTGTATGTAAAGCAGCCGCTTGGCAGGAGGAAGCTGTCTCCACTGAGCAGAGGGGGTCAGGTGCTCCCATACAAAAGAAAGACACTTATTGAAAGGCAAGAACTGTGTGACTGTAAATATGATCTCTGGGCAGAGAGGAGATTTAGTAAACTCTGGAACAATATGAAGGCTCCACACCTGGTATTGTTTAAGGCCAGGCTGGACGGGGCTTGGAGCAACACGCTCTAGTAGAAGGTGTCCCTGCCTGTGGCAGTGGCGTTGGAACTGGATGAGCTTTAAGGTCCCTTCCAACCCAAACTATTCTGTGACTCTGTGATGTCAATGTAAAGTGTCACAAGACTGTAGCATTCCCTAAAATATTAGTGGCTACCCAGTGAGCATTCATCAGTGCTGTCAGCGGTGCTCTGAATGCAGGGGAAATCATTGTTTTTTCTCTAACATGTCAAATACAGGCTAGTTGGAACTGCAGCAAAACTCTTATATAACAAAATTGTCCTTTTGAATAAAAGCTCTGGGGCAAAAAATGTCCGAGATACTAGAAAATGTAATTTTGCAGCTGGAATATGGAGATTTAGTGTTAAAAATCTAGGTCACAGTAGTGACTGGTTGGTTTGCTTGTTTTTTTTTTTTAAAAAACTTTCTAGCCCTTTGGATTTCAGCCAAGGGAGTTCATTTACTTTTGGCTTTAAGAAAAGAGCAAGGAAGGCAGCCTTGCTAATTTGTGAAGTGGAAGTAGCATTTGCCTTAAGAGACTTTTAATAGGTCTTCAGAAGCTAGGAAGGAAAAAAAGGGTATTCCTGTGGAAACTGTTGGAATTTTTGAAAGCCTTTTTTAGAAGTGAATGAATTAATAGTGATTTAGGGCAAGGAGGCTCAGATTTCTGACATGCTTGGCCTCACTTTCACTTGCAGGTCTTCACTGGAAAAGCCCTGATGCCAGTGTGGGACCAGGAAATCAGTTCTAGTAGAGTCATAGGGTTTGCTACTTACACTTCTTGTTTAGAAAAGAAGTGCTAGCTTTGGGTAGACCTTGTCTGGTAATGGTTAAACTAATAAACCTGTGGTGTGAAATGTTTTACTATCTGTATGTGCACAAACATTAGCATTATGAATAAATTAAAAGGATGTGTAAATGATATCCTTGGAATTTGAGAAGAAAAACCACTGAGAAGTTCTGGTGAAGGCTTTACAGTTACTTTCAAGTTCAGCTAATCTGATTGAAAGTAGTGATTACTTTAGGTTTCTAGAGGGAAGACTTTCAAAATAAATCTTGAGGCAGAATAAATATGACAATGCGTAAAATAATAGTATGTGGACAGTTCAGGTGACTTGGGTTTTAAGAGTAAAGTACTCTCAGGAAAAGAGAGTTGTGTTGAAGAAGCCAGAGTGTTAACATCACACTGCTAAAACTTTGCATTTTGAGTGTTGAAAGTCAACTCAGTTTTGATAGCTGCCCCCTTCAAAAGTCAGTAATATCTCAGTCTCTATCAATTTAGGGAGTGGGAACCTCCATGTATGGTATCTTTCTGTGAAGCATTCTCCTGTGCTGAGGTGCGGAAACCTTGTGGCCCAGGCACAGTGTTGGGAAGGATGTGATGGTTGCCTGCAGCAGCTGGGGTTGCCTGGTGGGATTTCTTGTGTTCCCTCGTAGAAGCCAAGAGGTTGTAGCTGTGTGATTGAAAATTCATGGGGGGGGAAAAGAGAAGATACTCACTGCAAGTTCATAAACATATTCCTTTTAATTAGTAGTCTGTTGGAGTAATGTCCTGACAGGAAGAGTCGAGAGTGATTATCTAACGAGGTTGAGTGTGATTAGTGTTTTTGCTTAAGGTGTACAGAAGCAAGGAGCACAGTGCTGTTAATTACAGTTTATTTAGTGTATCACGGGTTTTGTCTGTGCTACACTGAAGGAGAATTTTGTCCCTTTTATTTTCCTGAAAGGAAGGATGTTTTTACATAGTGTTTTTTTTTTTTTAAACAGCCTGCTTGACCAGACTTTGGCTGAGTAATTACAACGTTTGCAGAAAGATAGGGGTCTTGTGAGGTTTTTTTAATGCTGTTTTTTTATCTAGGTCCTGCTTCTCTGCTGTTACTTGGTTGAAGACGAGTGTGTGAGGCAGCCAGGGCTGCTCAGGGCATCTGTCCTGGGCTCAGCTGGATGAGCAGGAGGCTTTGCTGGGCTATCTGCGAAGTGGTTAACCTTCTCAAACAGAAAAACATGAATGAAATTCATCCAAAGCATAGAGCTCATAACTGCTCAGCAGTGTTCATTTTAACCATTTGTTACAGGTATTAAAAGGTTTTGGAAGGCTTAGCAGGAGATGTGGAACTGGGGCAAAGTGTTCAACCTTTCCTGGAGCAGAAGACCCCTCCATAGGAAAAGACAGGCTGAGAGAGCTGTGGATGTTCAGCCAGGAGACGAGAAGGCTTCACGGAGACCTTAGAGCAGCTCCCAGTACCTAAAGGGACAACAAAAAGCTTTGGACAAGGGCCCGTAGGGACAGGCCAAGGGGAATGGCTTTAACCTGCCAGAGGGGAGACTGAGATGAGCTCTTAGGCAGAAGCTCTTCCCTGTGAGGGTGCTGAGGCGCTGGCACAGGGTTCCCAGAGAAGCTGTGGCTGCCCCATCCCTGGCAGTGTTCAAGGCCAGGTTGGACACAGGGGCTTGGAGCAAGCTGCTCCAGTGGAAGGGGTCCCTGCCCATGGCAGGGGGTTGGAGCTGGAGGAGCTTTAAGGTCCCCTCCAATACAAACCAGGCTATGAAAAATGCTGGGACAGGTTGTGCAGGGCTGGGGAATGACTTGGAAGTGTTTGCGTACCATGTGGTCTTGTGCTGTTCATTGCACAATAGGAATTGTAGGAAAGGTGCTGATAAAGTTTGTTAGTATAAACTATCAGGTAATTGGGAATGAGAGCACTATGGGTTACCCCAGCCTTCAGGTCAGTGAAAAACTCTTGCAGAGGCAAAGCTCTCAGTAGACAACTTTGAAGAAAAAGCATTTCTTTCACCCCCCTCTTGGAGAATTAAAATCCTGGATAAATTACTTCTGTGTGTTGCACATTGAAACAGGATTTTCTTTTTAAGCAATTCACACCTGTTATTTTAAACTGCTTTCTTCAGAATCATTAGCTGTTAGAAACTACATTTTGGTAGTAAAGAAGAATATTACATTTGCATAAATCCATTGAGCCCTTTTTCTGCCTATACCATTTTCCATGGCATGTTTACCTTTGCTGGTGTTAAATGAGGTTATTAAACTTCATTATGCAAACCTGCTCTGTATAAGATCACGAGTTATTTTCCATTGTGCTTTAAAGTGAACACAAAATGCATCACACAATGTTATACTTTGGAGGGCTTCTTCATTCAGGTTTTAATTATGGAACTGAACACAAGATATACCTTAAGGTATGCACCTGGAACAAAACAGTCTTTTTGCATATGCTGCAGATTTCAAATTGGTGCAATTTCATCACAGCTTTTTACAATAACTAATCTGGTTTAAATGTCAATTTATCAATCCGTTTTGACAGAAATTAGTGTTTGAGTTTGCATGGATATGCAAGTTCAGGTGAAGACAGGCATGAGGCTGTTTTCCTATTTAAAGAATTATCATTTAACCTTAAATCCATTCAGTATGTGTGTCTACGTATGTATATTTGTTACAGAAGCAAAGCATCTTATTCATACAATACCAGGCTGTATTACATACTGTGAAAAAGCATATTATAAGTCTTCTTCTGTTTAACAGAGTTTAATGCTAATTGCTTTTCCCTTCCTTTATGTTTAGTCTCTGAAAACCAGTTCCTATTTGCACTGGATGGAGGAGGCAGGGAAGCACTGTTCCTCTTCATCTTGCAGGTTTCCTTCTCTGTCAGAGAATTCCAGTTTTTTCTCAACTATAAATCATCTATCCATTAATATACACTCTTTATCTTTTTAGCTTTTCTCTGATTTAGTTTGGTTTTATTGGAGAGCAGCTTATAACATCTTTTTAATGGCGTGCTTTGACTTCCCAGAGCATCAGAGAACCAGAAAGGAGCTGGAGGGAAGAAGACACCAATGTTGTGTGGTCAGTATCCGACTAAGAGTGAGGGGAAGGAGCTGAAGATCGTGGTACAGCCAGAAACCCAACACAGGGCTCGTTACCTGACTGAAGGCAGCCGAGGCTCAGTGAAAGACCGAACACAGCAAGGCTTTCCAACAGTCAAGGTAGGCTGCTTAGTGTTGAGTGACTCCTTCCCAATTGATGCTTAAGTAGAATGGGAACTAATGCAAAGGGCCTAGAATCTCCGTTTTTAAAGGGAAGGGGAGAGACTTTGCAGTCTCTTTGCTGTACAGATTATTATTTCTTGCAGGTACCAGGAGGTCTTATTTGCATCACAGTTAACAGGAGGAAGGAAGCTTTATGTCAAGGCAGTGATGTATAGTCTGTGACGCATGTCCCTTTAGACTACAATTGCAGAAATTCTCTAAATAGACACTTGAAGCATGCAGAAGTAGGATAGTGAAATGCTGTAAGAAATGCAGCCTGTTACCTGTGTAGACCTGATATCTTCAGGTGTTGCTGGTCAATCGATCTGAGGCAGCAATGAGCAGCATGCAGGTTTGAATGGTGTCCTCAATCCTGCTGATCAGGAGAAGGACCTGGATAGAGCAGATGCAGTCAGGAATCCAGGCTCTGGCTGCATAGCTGGCTCTCCAGCATGCATTTAGCTTCTTTGTTCATCCTGCTTCATTTGGAGAAAAGGACAGCTGATGTAATTCACCTTGCTCAGAGAGGGGGAAAGCTGTTGGTGGTGAGGCTTGCCAGCCTCTGCCAGAGGGCTTTACTGCAAGTTCTTCAGAGGACGGGGACCAAAGCCCAGAAGGAAAGTAGAAGCTACAAATAGAGAAGAACCATGAGGAAGAAGGCTACAAAAAGATCTTTCGCCTTTCTGCTCAGAATGGTGACATTCAAAGGTTGTCTGCCAGTGCATGCACATTAATGACCAGAGTGTGAGTCTGCAGGTCTTGTTTTTTTCCCTTGCGTAGTCAGAGAGCTGTGAGTTGACTGGAGTCACAGAGGCTTGGGGTGGTGTCTGGAATGCAATCATGGATATGTAGCAGCTGTTTAGAAGGAAGAGAGGAGGTCATGTATCATGAGGTGCTCCTCGATTGCACAGATCTCGAGCAATGGATTGGAGACCAGAGGAGGGAGGAAGTTAGGGAAAATGTTTTGGTATCTGTTACAGACTTCCTGTCTGAGAAGACAGTAGATGATGCAGGATTGTCCTGCATACAGACCTCTCTGACTGTGGAAGATTTCAGCCATCTGTCCATCTGCAGGGTTACATAGGCTGGTAGAAGCCATCAAAAAACTTCAGGGCTGTGCTTGTGAAGGCTTCCTGATGCAAATGGTAGAGGGGCTTGCCAGGAGTAATGCTTTACTTGACTTAAACAGGAGCAAACAGAAGAAGTGATGTCAGACACGATCGCAGAAGTTGCAGTGGCAAGAGTATAAAGTTGGGGGGGACGACACTGAAGTCAGCACAGGCTGGCACTGTGTGCCCGTTGGAACTGAGGTGAATGTCATCCTGGTCGTATTGGGTGGAGTGTGGTGAACAGGCAGAGCAAGTAGACAACTTTATCTGGGAAAAGACATTTCCTTTTTTATTTTTTATTAATTATGATGCTTTGAGAAAGCACCAATAAGTTCTTAATCCAGACTAATTTACCAGGTCCACAAGGCGTGTTTATGATAAGAGCCCTTAAAATTTGTGCTGAGTACTGCTGACAGACTATAGAAGTATACTTATCTTTAAAGTCCTGTTTGACAGCATTAGAAATGTTTCCAAAACTTCACTCAGAAATATAGAAATCTGTTCCTTAGAACAGATGCGGAAATTCTGTTCCTCAGAAATGTAGAAATCCAATTAAGTTTCATAAGAAAAGAATCTGTTCATATCATCCTGTTGCTATGGTGATTTAGTGCTTATTTATGCGAAATTTCTTAATGGGCCTTTGTTCATCTGAATTTCCTTTTAATTCTTTTCCAAGTCATCCTTTAGTACCCATCTGTGAAAACTCTGTTTGGAAGAGTCTCATGTTACTGAATTCCTGGAAGCTCAAGCTTGCCTTACCAGTAGGTAGACTAGTTCATATGCTGCATATAAAAGTCTGCCAGGGCTGGACAGACAAAACGAGTCAGTGGATCTTCAGGAAATCTGAGCTAGTGATGAAAAGTCTGTAAAGGACAGGAGGGTTTTTGGTTTGTGTTTTTTTTGGTTTGTTTTAAAGATGTGGAAGAAGAATGTAAAATTGTTGCTAGTTCGGAAGAGATCTGGTGCTTGGTCTTCTCTGGCAGCATAGGCAGCCATTCAGATGCATCACTCCTAAGTGGACTGAGGAGAAGAAGCAGGAGGTTCTGTGGTCTAAGGAAAACCATGTTACTTGATGACTTAGAACTAGAGAGACTACAATCAATATGCAACATTAAAATTGTGTAAACGAACATTAATTAAGTGACTTGGCTGGCAAAAGAAAGATTATCCTGAATGCAGAGTGTCAGCAGGGGTGTCCCTGCCATCAGTAACATCTTCATGTTGTCTTGCTAATGGTATCTCAGAGCTGGAGCAGTTACCCAGATCATGTGAGATACTTCTGCACACTGTTCATATGTTCTTCTAACAAGAACACCAGAAAGAAAAGCAACACTACTTAGCTGTGACGATGCTCTTTCTGGCCAAGGAGGCCTTGGTGATGTGACACAAAGACTGCTCATTCAGTTTTCCATGTAAATGGTAGAATATCAGAGTACCCTTTACTTCCCACTGCCTTTTGACTGCCTGGTGAACTTAAGTCATCTCATAGGCTGTTTTCATGGTCACTTCACTTGTGCTCTCTTAGCTCCTGAGCTCTCTGCTAGGAACCCTGCCTGTTAGCTCTTGTTTCCTACTTGGAAGCCTGTCAGGTGGCCACCTGCAGAGATATTCTGGTTTTGCCCGTCCATAATGGTCAGAACACCCACCTCATTGCTTATTGTTCCTTTTGGACATGAGTAATGTTCTGTTCTTACCAGTGTTTGCTCATTTTTCCCTTTTCCAGACTCGCTGAGAACTTCAAAACTTCAGTTTCTAAGTTGACAGGGATAAATCTCCTAAAAGATCCTCTGGAGGATTCTGCTCTCATTTGCATTTCCTTACTAATAAAATTTGAGCTTCTTTCTGTAAGTTTTGACTGGGCTTCCAGGCCTAGGATGAAATATAACATTGGCACTCAGAAATTCTCTAGCAACAATTGTGGCTTAATAAAAACATTGCAAGTACTGGTTTTATCTCCTCTTAGAATGCCCTGGCAAAGAATTTCTCTCTCACATGGGAATCTGGCAGTGACCTTGTGTTTCTTTTTACTCAGGAATATTTTTCTTAACTACTACCTAAAAAAAAAAAAAATTACTTTGTAATACAATGCCCAAATTTACTTCAAGACTTCTTTTACATCACAGTAAAAATAAATTTTACCTGTTTATTAAATGACTGTCTTTTAATGAAAAAACGAATGCCAAAAGATAAAAGAAGTTAGCATTTTGTTTTTAAACTAGATGAAAAATTTCTGTTCCTTCTGCCCTTAGGGTTGTTTCCAGCAACACTGGGAGCTGATTTACTTCAAATTCACCTGCATAAAATGTTTTGTGTTTTAATTAACAGGAGTTCTGTTGAAATGTTTGATTTGTGGTGTTGTGTTTCAGCTGGAAGGTCACAATGAGCCGGTGGTGCTGCAGGTATTTGTGGGTAATGACTCCGGTCGAGTGAAGCCACATGGGTTCTACCAGGCCTGCAGAGTTACTGGGAGAAACACTACCCCCTGTAAAGAAGTGGATATAGAGGGAACTACTGTTATTGAGGTTGGACTGGACCCAAGCAACAATATGACACTTGCGTGAGTAGCTTTTTTTTTAAAAAAAAAATAATGTAAATTAATTTATTAGTTTATTTTCAGAAACTGATTTTCTTATTTTGATTGGGTGGGTTAGTAGTTAAAAGTCTGAACATCTTGGAACACACCAGGTACTTAGTGAAGGTGTGGGTATAAGAAAAACTTTTAAAATTACATTCTCAATTTGTTTATTTTATTTAATTCTTAACCTGGTCTTCCTTAAACTTTATCAGTTAACTGTTACATTAGTTTCCTGTTGTGTTCGATCAATAATGTGCATATTCAAGCATGAGGTGAATTATAACTGATTGGTGATTCTTCTAGTTGTTGTGTCTTTTAACAAGAATTGCTGAGCAGATGCAAACTTCAGATACAAGTGATTTCCTAATAAGCTGTTCACATGTATCATAACATACAGAAAGGAACTGATCTTTTTTCAAATAATTCTTTTCAGTAGAATGTGTTCTTTTCAATGGGTATGTGATTGAAAGCTGCCACTCTTTACTTGGCAGCTTGTCTTGTTTCAAGAGAAGAAAGGTTTATTTAATTGTCAGTATCCACTTCTCCAGTAGGATAATACAGTTTGTTAATAAACTGTATCAGTTTGATTTTTTAAGGTAAAATATATTCCCATGATAAGTTTGGAAACTGCCTCTTGGAGAGTAATTTTATAATTGTCCTCAAGTGTTGATGTAAAACCATGTAAATATAGAGATGCTAGAAAGATGAATTAATTACTTGGGAAGCAAAGTTTTGCTTAGGCTGTTCTCTTGTAAGAAATCTTGATGTCTCAAAAGAAATCTTCCTGGTATTTCAGTGACTCTGTAGCACCTCTCTATTGATGGTAATGCTACTGCCACCTTCTGAATCACGCTTTTCCCTGCTCTCTGCTCCCTAGTTATTGCTTTTTCACCCTCTAACAGTGCAAAACTTTGTTGTACTCAGATTAAATATCAGATGGTCCCTGTACTGTTTGGATGTAGAGCCCGAGATCCTGGTAAAACTACAGTATTATTCTTAACACCTCATGCTGTGTTTGGTTGGAATTTTTGTTCTTTTGTTTGAAATAATTTTGCATCTAGCATGCCCTTTTGAAAGTTAGCACTGCCTCTCTCTCACCCTGGCCCTGTAGACATTTCCCAGAAGGCCAGAGTTATCTTATGACATAGCTATGACTTCCAAGTTCCACTGAGCGTAAAAAATGGTATCATTACAGTAACTTTTCTTCTACCATTCTTAAAGGAAATGCAGAATATTTTGTAGTAACAATCCTACAAATCCAGATCTAGCCACTGGAATGGAAGAGTGAAGACCTGTGGTTATAAACTGAATGCTAACCAGAATGACTTGTTATATCGCATTTTGTGTTTTACTCATACTGCTTTATTATTCTGTCCTTCCATAATCCATCATAAAATGGTTTGAGTTGGAAGGGACCTTAAAGCTCATCCAGTTCCAACCTCCTGCCATGGGCAGGGACACCTTCCACTAGAGCAGCTTGCTCCAAGCCTCAGTGTCCAACCTGGCCTTGAGCACTGCCAGGGATGGGGCAGCCGCAGCTTCTCTGGGCACCCTGTGCCAGCGCCTCAGCACCCTCACAGGGAAGAACTTCTGCCTAATATCTAACTTGAACTTCCTCTGTTTCAGTTTAAACTTATTCCCCCTTGTCCTATCGCTGCAGTCCCTGATGAAGAGTCCCCATCCAAGTTATGTTAGGTTGAATTGAAAAGCGAGCTATGTAGTGAGAAAGGTTGTGTAGGGATTTCATTAAAAAAAAAAAAAAATAAATAGACTATTTCAGTAATTACTTCCAGAGTTTTGACTTATGGCCTAACGTGTTGAAAGACTATTAAAGTGCTGAACATATTGAACTGTATTAAACTTTACACTGTTTTGTGTTGATAGGGTTGATTGTGTGGGGATACTGAAGCTAAGAAATGCTGATGTTGAAGCTCGGATAGGGATTGCTGGCTCGAAGAAAAAAAGCACACGTGCTAGGCTGGTATTTCGTGTTAACATCACTCGCAAAGATGGTTCAACTTTGACTCTTCAGACACCCTCTTGCCCAATTTTGTGCAGTAAGTATCAGAAAGTTGGTATTATTGGACTCTGAATTATAGTGTGATTGCCATAAAATGCCTCAGGGAAAAAAGCCCACCCCACTGTAATTCCATGACTATTTCAGAATTGCTGTGGCTAAGGTCACGTGAATTAATTTTTATTTGAGGTGGGATGTTAGACAAATGACTGACCAGTATTTAAAAGTAGTTATGAATTTCATCATCTTCTATTAAATTAATCTTTGCCTTTTAAACAGTCAGATTTTTTTTGTCCTTTTTTTTTTTTTAAACTTCGATATGATTTTTTGAGACAAGTTTTAATCTCTTCTGCATTGTGACGTTCATCTGGCAGCTTTCAGTGGCCAAAAAGACCTCTAATGAGTTAGTGAGCATGGTTCTCTACAGTTGTGGTAGTTTGCTGGGCCAGAGGCTGAATCTGTTCTGGTTCACTGCAAGAATGGAACATTTTATAGCTCTTTACTAAAATGCTCTATTTAGCACTGAGCACAGATGGCTGCGCTGACTGGTTTGGTTATGCTGAACAGCAGCGAAAATTAAACCAGAAAGGGCTGCATGTGTCTGTAGAGTCTGTAGCAGCTTCCAATTACATGGAATTCTGCTCATCTGCAAAAGAGAAAAAATAGGGAAATATGTTTAACACAGCTGTCGATGGGGTTACTGATATTTCTTGATGAACAAGAAGATAGAGCTTTTTCTCCACATGCGTGAAACATACTGTGGTTATGCAAGCTCCTTGTGTTGTGTTCTTTCCATTGTATAAGAAGTTCTTGGTTTTGGTGGGTTTTTTGTTTTTCTAAACCCTGTCAGTACCTATTGTGTCAACGCTCCTATTCAACTCATCAGAAATTGCAGCTTTGTTGCCAGTGAAAGAACAGATTGGAAGAGGAGATAATTAAAACCATGTGAGCTTCTACATCGGCTACCACCATGCGGTTCCAGTGCTGCAGGCAGCAGGCGGTTTGGCAGATGTGGCATGTGGCCCATCCCTCCTTCCAGTCTTCTGCTCTTACAGAGAATCCGTGTGCAGGACTCGGGTGGAGCAGGAGCCCAGCAGAAGCCCTAATAAAGCTGATAGCCAAAGACGTGCCACTGCTGGTGCAGGGGAGGTCTCTCCTGTCCTCAGCCATGTTCTCTGCTTTAGGCAGTGGTTTGACTTCTGGTGTGCTCTCCCAGAAATTGGTGTTCCCCTCCCTCTCTTTTCCTCTCCTGCCACTTTTTTTCCTAAATCTTTCTTTTCCCAGTGTTTTTTTAACTGGTGGAGCTCTCAGATGTAGGCATTTATGTTATTGGAAAATATGTAAGCACGTTTGCTAGAGCTATGATTGTCTCTGTAGCTCCATTCCAGTCAGTGGAGCATTGTAGTATCTGACACTAATTTTCAGATTTAAGAAAAAAACATTTTCTGTAAAATCTGCAAGATCTCTATCTGCATACATTTTATTTGTATCATTAATTTACTGGTTAAAGTTATTTAAATAATAGCAGAAATGGGAACAGAATTCATCTGATGTTTTCTTAAGCACGTGACAATCCAAAACTTGCTACTGTAGGTAGAAGCTGAGTGTCTGAGATGTTTTAGGAAATTTAAAGATAGGCTGTTCAACTAAAAAAGCTGTATTTGATGCAATTTCTGCTCAGCTTGTTGGTAAAGCCATTCTAGTACTGGCTTATGAGGATCCCTTGTAGTCTTCTTTCTGTTTGTTCAATGAAGCCATGTATACCTGTAGCATTAGTAGCTGTATTTTGAGATAGGGGCAGTGAGTGAAAAGTGGAATATATGACGTGCTAAGGGCCGTTGTAAGAAAAGGAAGAAGGAAAGAAGGACATAAAAGTTATCCTTCTATAAATAAAGTTCTAAAAAATTGGCTTAGTTTTTAGCAAGGTGGGGTTTGGTCAGTTGATCAGAAATTTTTCCTAATTGTGTAAATCTCCGAGAGTTTGCCCAGGAATTTTATAGCATCTCCATTGCTGGACACCTAAAACAAAGAAACAAAATCATGTCTTTGAGTAGTAGTGTGGGTAAAACTAATCGTGATGTGAAGGTTGAGAGGGGAATTCTTGAGGCTTTTCCAAGGCTTCTGTGCTTCTGATTCTTAACTTACGCGAAAGTCACAGTGATTTCCAGCAGACCTTAGCCAACCAAACTATGCCAGTACGTATACTGCCTGATCCATATGGCATAAAATGTTGTTTATGAAGTTACTCATTTATATAAATCATATCCTCAGGCACATTACACCTGGTTTGTTTGCTACACACATCTTATTACAGATGTGTACTTGACTTTCTCATAATGAAGTTTACATTATCACTCATCACAGCCTGCTTATATTGTGTGCTGTCACTAATACTGCTGTCAAAGCTGCGTTGCTGTTCCTGAAACCATAGGAAAGATGTTGAATAGATGCAGGCTCTTTATTTAAGGTCTGTGTTTCAAATAAGCTTTGTTCACTTGCTAGCAAACCTAAATCCAGTTACGCTTTTCAGACATTCATGTGTCTTTAGCATATTTAGTAGTTGTGTAATGGTTGCCTAGGAACCCGCTGCAACACTTTTAGAAAAAGCCTCTCTGAAAGGTCATCAGATAATTTGGAATGTTACAGTGTTATCTTCTTCTGTGTAGTAAGCCCACAGAATATTGTTAATAAACACTAAAAAGTAGGCTGTGTAAGTGCAATGCACAAGTACAAGCTTATGCCACTTGGATTTTGTGGTGAACAGAAAAGGTGGTTGAGAAACTTCTAAGAAGCTGGAATTACTTTATAAAATACGAAATGTGACAAAGTCAAAGTACATAATTTTAAAATGTGTGTCTATTTAAATTGCCTTTGGTGCTCATTTTCATTTAGCCCATGTGGCCCTTATGCTTTAAGAAGCATAGAAATAGTTTGCAGCAAAGGTATTGTAATACATGTTATCGCAAATCATCATCTGAATTGCTGTCTGAGAGGTACAAGTTTCCAGGGGTGTGGAACTGTAAGCTGCATTCTCTTTGCTACTTCATAGGATATAAGTTGCTATAATCCCCAACTATACCCACGTTAACTCTTGCAAGGGTTTCTGTTAACTGAAGTATATAATTCTAGAAAGTCATGGAATGGTTTGGGTTAGAAAGGACCTTGAAGTTTATCCATTTCCAACCCACTGCCATGATCAGGGACACCTTCCACTAGACCAGGTTGCTCAAAGCCCTTGGTTAGTTCTTGCACCAGCCAGGAAGCTACTCCATGTAAAAAAAACAAACAAACAAACTTGGAAAAAAAAAAATCCAGGAGAATTACTACTTATACCCTTTTGCGTAGGAGGACAAAATGAGCTTTATATTAAATTGATAGATTTGAAGATGTGTTTAAGGTGTGTCTAAGGCCTGATGCATTTATTGCTTTCTATGCCAGGAAATTACAGGACTGAAGTTTCTTGAACTTTAGCTCTAACACTGAAAGTTTCGCTTTTGAGGATTTAATAAATACAGGAGAAAAGGGAAAATGTTATTAAAGGATCATTTCCCTAAGTGGGATTTTTGAGGCCATCACATTTAGTGAGGAGATAATAGAAATGGTTACTGTCTGAAAAGCTTTTTAATAAAATTAGTGATATAGTAAAGGAAGAGCTGAGGAATTATTTCGTTCTTTCTTTTATAATCCTGTAAGTAAAACTTTTTTGTTTTGGATGTTGATATTTTCTTGATTTCAGACTAGTTTTTTTCAATTGCAGCTCAACCAGCAGGAGTTCCAGAGATCCTAAAGAAAAGCCTGCACAGTTGTTCAGTGAAGGGTGAAGAGGAAGTTTTTCTGATTGGCAAGAACTTTCTAAAGGGAACAAAAGTGATTTTCCAAGAGAACGTTTCTGGTTAGTGTGAAAGCAGTAACAGCTTGGGGTGCTGAAGAGGGTGTGATGCTGGGGTTTACACTGGGTGATAAAGTTTAATTGTAGAGAGCAAACTGACAAGCAGAATCAGAGGCAATAAAATAAATTTCTTTATATGGATGTACAATAAATTATGCTTTTTAATTTTCATTTAGATGACAATTCATGGAAGGCAGAGGCTGAAATAGACATGGAATTATTTCATCAGGTACTTCTGTGTTGTTGTTGTTATTACTGTTATTGCATTTAAATAAGAAAAAATACTGTTTCCAAAAAAAAATTAAATAAGCCTTTCCTTTTTCCTGTGCATTTCTGGAAATAATACTCCTTTTCTTAAAATAAGTTCTATAGTGAATCTGGTTGAATGTCATTGGTTTGGGTTTACACAAGTACAGTTGTTCCATTTCTAGTTAAGAATTTCAATACAGTAGGAGTGTGGTATATGGAGCAGGTGTTTGCCCTTACATAAGTTTAATTAAAAGGCCCAGTCCAGTTTTTCCAGTAGCTTTCCTAAGGCCACGTTAGATTAGTACTGACTGGAAATAGATGATATACACCATAGTCTTTATACCTGGCTTGATTTCTGATCCATTCTGAAATGTTTTACAAAATATCTCTCTCTTCTTTTTGCCACAACCGTCATTTTGGACTATTGGACTGAAATGAGAGAAATTATTAGATATAAAAGACATTTGACAAACTTCACCTTGCTCCCATCTCTGTAGGCAGTATTCCATGTGTGCACTGATAGAAATGATTTCTCACTTCCAGTGGGTAGTTGGGGAATAGAGATCCCTCATCGCTATTCCTGTTGATGAATGACTGCAGGCCTATTTTTTGATGTCTGCTCTGTGTTAAATCTTAAGTGTAACATGAAACTGCATCCCTGCATCCTCCATCTTTTCACACTGAATACAGAGACCTGAGTCAGCAGAACATGAAGTGTCTGAATCCAGCAGAACTTGATGGGAAACTGACTGCAGTTCAATAAGGCATGTTAGGCATAAGCTTATGCTTAAAGTACTGGACTTTGTCTTTCCATTTGAATTGTAGGTTGCCAGTGAGCATCATATAGGGAGATTATTCAAATCTCTCTTCTAGCGCTAGTCAGGTATCAGTTTACTTCACTGAAGATGTAATGTGATCACATCTCTCCCAATGTCTTTGTTTTTTGGTGTTTTATCAGTCTGTTTCTCTGTGTTGATGGATATAATACAATTAAGGTGGTAAAGTTAGGCTTCTGATGTGATTTTTAAATTATTTTTGCATTGCAGAATCATCTTATTGTGAAGGTGCCCCCATATCATGACCAGCAAATAACCTCAGCTGTTTCTGTGGGGATATATGTTGTGACCAACGCTGGAAGATCACGTGATGTGCAGCCATTTACATACACTCCAGATACATGTATGTGAAATAAAAATCTGAAGGAAAAAAGGGGCAGTTTTCCCTGAAAGCATTTTGGGTTTGATTTCATAGCATTTAATCCATGCAACAGAAATGTTAAGTAACATGGACCTTTTCAAGCTCATCTTGCTGGCAGTGTTTACTCTGTTAAATAATAAAATCTAAAGGCTTGGCCTTTCTCATTTATGTGGCAGGTATCTCAAAATTTCAGCTGCATGGAGACAGCTGTTCAGAATGAAGCTGAGCAGGAAAAAAGGAAACACATTACATACAGTGCAACAGATCCAAACAAAAAGTAGCACCAAGCTTTATCCTGAGGAAGGTTGAAGTTTGACCGTATCACTGTATTTTTGTTTATTTATTTATCTGTATTACAATACGCAGTCCAGAAGTTTGTTTGGGTTTCAAAGAACCTCAGTTTCTTTAGTATATAAGTAACTGTTTTGGTTAGCTTGTTTTTTTTTGCTTGTTTGCTGTTTTAACATAAGGAAGTTCTCAATGTGTTTTGTCTCAACAGCTGGTACTCTGAATGTTGATGTGAAAAAGGAAATCTCCAGCCCAGCCCAACATTGTTCTTTTGAGGAGGCTATAAAAGGTACTAAATTGATTCTTATCATTGTTGTTAATAATTTTAACTATAAATTCCTACTCAGATTTGGGGGAATGAATCAAATGTCCTGTGAAGATAAGTTTGTTCTTATAAATTTTGGCCACATTCTTACAGTGAGGTTTGTTTTCTGGTTCTGAATATTTTACTTAATAAACAGTATTCTTTTACATATATTTTAACATGAGCTAGTACAGAACAAAACCTGCAAAAAATAGTTTTTTTTTCCTTCTGTTTTTTGTTTATTTCACTTTTCATTGCTAAGGCTCTGAAGTCTAATCTTCATTTAATATGATTTCAAGTGAAGAATTAAAAAGAAAGAAGCCAAAGATTTATAAACAAAGGATTTAGAAACAGTGTAGTGTTAATTTAAGCTAAACTATATGTAATGGTAGTGGTGGGGAAGAACTGAATACTGAAAACATGAGCATGCCACCTGGTATTTTTTGGACACTCTCCAGTGGTTTTATGAGATTGCTTTCAGTGGGTCTAGTTAAGAATGCTAGTTCTGGCACTTCCAACTTGTTCCTTTCAATGAATTATTGTTGTTTAGTTTGGTTTTTTTTTCCTTTTTTTTCCCCTTTTTTCTTTTTTTTTTTTTAATTTGTTTTCATTTTTTTCTGACCATTCATGACATGCAAAGTTTGTTGTTTTGTTCCAAGGGAGTAAGTTTTAGGTTTGTCTGGTTTTTAAGTGTGAATTAAATTGATGCTTTTGATAGTGAAATAGAGGAAGGAAATGTTTCTTAGTTGACTGTTAAAACTATAGTAGTGTACAAAGATTAATGGAAATTTCCATAGCCTGCTCTGGTGAAAGGTTGAAAGTAGGCAAATTAACAATGTGATCACAAGTTTGATAGGAATCCATACCTTCAGGTTAAAATTATGAAGCTCATGTTTGAAGTTAATAGCTTGGTCTTGGCAGGGAATATATTTATAAGTTGACTTTACAACTTGTTAGGGAGGATAATACAAGATATGATGAGTTTAAACCTGCAGAGAATGTTTGGGGGAGAAGTATGCAAAAATATTTAGGGCAGTGAAACAAGCTGATAAAAGGACTGGTAAGACCTCTAGTAGCAAGATCAAAAAGATGAAGAAAATAACTTATTTTTGTATCAGGGCAAGCTTGACATCCAACTAATTTAGCATGGAGGCTTAACAAGGGAGGATATCAACGGCAGTGGGAGAACATCTGCTGTTCGTAAAATGTGCTATTTCTATTGCTTCATGTCCTCCATTTAATTTATGTGATAAATCTTAATTTACTTTCTTGTGTGGGTTTTGTGCTAGGCAGCTCAGTTTGATGGCTCATTCCTATACCTATTCTGCTCTAGGCTGATCATGAACCAGATAGTTCATGATCAAAACCAGATCAGTTTTGTCTGCTTCATGTGCTTTGTCTCTGATTGTGCCGCAGATAAAGGTGGGGATCCAGTGGGATACTTTAAGTTAAAGATTAATTTACATTTATATGGAACTATGATTTTTACATGCTTTCCCATTGGTTTGTTTTAAGCTCAATTTGAGCAGTATTTGAAATCAAGAAAGTTAATTTTACGTACAGCAAAGATCTCAGCTTATGTATTTTTTTAATGTGGATCAGGAAAAATCGAAATTAAAAAGATCTAATTCATTTTAAAAAGCCACCTTTCTATATTTAAAAACATGAAGAAACTAGGCACTACAAAGGCAAAATTACAACTTGCTCTTGCTACAGAGCTGACATGCAGGTTTATCAAGGTTTGATTGATTATTCCTTTAACAGAATAAAAATACAGTCTGAATGCTTTGAGCACTCTGTTCACGTGGTTATCTGAAAACAGACATTTTTCAAAATGAAATAGAGAATTTGCACAGTTAAAGTACAGTAAAGTTTAGAATGTGAGAATTTGTGGAAAGATATCTTAAGCTTCTATGTTTGCAGTTCAGGCAGTTGGTGGATGGTTCTTCTTGGTCTAGAAATATACAAAAAGGAAGAAAATCAAAACTATGACATTTTTGTTAGTCTTAAAAGTAACCTTTGAAGGTTGTGATATCTCTTCATATTAGCATCTTGTATGAGGATGAGAGCTCCTGTGGCAAGGCTGAAAAGTGAAATGCCACTGCTACAAATCCACCCTCTGCATAATGGATGTTAACATTCCATTGCCCTTCCTTTATTTTTATGCAGCAGTGAAGGCCACTGGTTGTAACCTGGAGAAGGTCAACATTCTTCCTAGTGCCTTGATAACTCCGCTTATGCCAAGCAGTATGATTAAGAATGAAGATGTGGCTCCAATGGAAGTAAGTGCAGAAAAAAGATCTCCCCCTGTCTTCAAGGTAAGTTTGATTGTGATCTGAAGGCTGTAGCTTTAATAGTTATATCTACCCATCAGTCCAAGTTCTAATAGTGGAGAAGCGTAACACACAGGGGAAATGTCAGGTCTGAGATTGGTCTGGACAAAACGCACAATCACTGAGCATGGTTACGTAATTATTTAATAATAAATATCTATAATAATTTTCTCTGAAAGTAACTTACCTTGTTTCACTCTCAATTCCAGGGTTGATTGGTTAGTGATACTATGATTTTTTTTTTGTGTCCCTTGACACAGAACTAGTAAATCACTGTAAGAATATTGTTTTAATCACTTTTTAGCTTTGTTTTCATGAAATTGTACCTTAATTTATTCCTTAAAGTAGCATTTCCACTGCTAGTCCTTTACTTATTTGTTTGGTTATGTATGGAGAGATGGATACATAGCCATCAAATCTTCCATCTAATCTTTCTTGAGGATTGTGATTGGTGGAAGTTTTGTAAGCATAACTGAAGTAAGCTTATGAATTGCTTAATGTCTGGCTCTATTCAGGCTTCAAGTGTGGTTGGACCAACTCAACAAACATTGGAAAACAGTATGTCTGGCATATCAACTTCTGCTTCCCATTTACCTTCTGAAAATGAAAACCAGCAACAAATACAGCCGAAGGTGTATAGTCCAGAGACACTAACTACTATCCAAACACAGGACATTTCCCAGCCTGGTAGCTTTTCAGCTGTTTCAACTCCAGGTCAGCTGCAGAACAGCGATGCATTATTGCAGCAAGCTGCACAGTTCCAAACAAGAGATGCCCAAGCCAGGGAAGTCTTGCAATCAGATGGCACAGTAGTCACTTTGTCACAGTTAACTGATCCATCACAACAACAACAGTCTGCACTCTCAGAACCAGCACAGGCATTGCAGCAACAGATTTCATCAAGTATTTTCTCGTCAGCAAGCGGTGTGAGTCAGTTACAGAACACTATCCAGCAACTGCAAGCTGGAAATTTTCCAACAAACACTGCCACTGGCAGCAATAGAAATGTTGACTTGGTGCAGCAGGTACTGGAAGCTCAGCAGCAGTTATCTTCTGTTTTATTTTCTGGTTCAGACAGCAGTGAGGATGTTCAAGATCAGCTAAATGCTGACATCTTTCAGCAAGTTAGCCAGATACAAAATAGCGTAAATCCTGGTATATTTTCCTCATCAGACACAGCTGTCCATTCTAGACCAGAGAACCTTTTGCCTGGCCGAGCTGAAAATGTTCACTCACAGCCTGAAAATGCATTGTCCAGTCAACAGCAGCAACAACAGCAGCAGCAGCAGGCTATGGAGACTTCTGCAGCAATGGTGATAGGAATCCAACAAAACATTTGCCAGGCTGCAACACAGATGCAGTCTGATTTGTTCTCCTCAACAACATCAGGGAATGGAGCCCTGCAACAGTCACCTGTTTACCAGCAGCCTTCCCACATAATGAGTGGGTTATCAACAAGTGAAGACATGCAAATGCAGTGTGAATTGTTCTCTTCATCTCCCGGTGTTTCTGGGAGTGAGACTACTCCTGCTGCTCAGCAACAGGTCTCCAACAATGGACCTGCTATGTTTCAGACCTCAAATGCTGCAGATGGAGAAGAAGCTTCAGGACAGAATAAACAGATGCAAAACACTGTATTTCAGACCATGGTTCAAATGCAGCATAGTGGAGAAAGTCAATCTCAAGTTAATCTCTTTTCATCTACTAAAAACATGATGGCTGTTCAGGCAAGTGGAACTCAACAACAAGGAGGTGGTTTGTTCCAGCAGGGCGGAGAGATCATGTCTATTCAGTCAGGAAGCTTTATGCAGCAGTCTCCACATTCACAAGCTCAGCTTTTTCACTCTCAGAATCCTATTGGTGATACTCAGAATTTATCACAAGAAACACAAGGCTCTATTTTCCACAGTCCAAATTCCATTGTCCACAACCAGACCAGTGCCAATTCCTCTGACCAACTGCAGCCTCCAATGTTCCACTCACAGAACACCATGGGTGTATTGCAAAGTTCTTCAGTTCCTCAAGACCAGCAGTCAGCCAACATGTTCCTTTCCCAGAGTTCAATGAGCAATGCTGCAACTCAGGAAGAACAGATGTCATTCTTTACGAGCCCAAATTCCATTTCTCCTCTTCAGACAGCAACAAACACTGAACAGCAGACTTCTTTCCAGCAGCAGACACAGATATCTCATATCCAGAGTACTATGCTTCCCCAAGAACAGGCCCAGACTCAGCCCTCTCAGCAAGGTTTGTTTCAGTCTCAAGTGTCACTAGGCTCCATGCAGTCCAGCTCAATTCCTCAGAACCAGCAAGGAGCTATCTTCCAGCCTCAGCATTCAATAGTTGCTATTCAGAGTAGTCCTCCATCCCAAGAACAGCAGCAGCAACAGCAGCAGAATATGATGTTCAGTAATCAAAATGCAATGAGTACAATTGCTTCTCAAAAGCAGAACATGATTTTCAATCCAAACCAAAACCCGGTTACCAATCAGGATCAACAAGGCCAGTCCATTTTCCATCCACAGACTAACATGGCATCAATGAACCAGGAGCAGCAGCCCATGCAGTTCCAGAGTCAGAGTACCGTATCTTCTCTTCAGACTCCTGGATCCAGCCAGGCTGAAGCGCAGCAGCCAGCCATCTTCCATAATTCACCCCAGATTCAGTTGGTCCAAGGATCACCAAGTTCTCAAGAGCAACAAGTCACCCTCTTCATCTCTTCAGCTTCCATGTCTGCCTTGCAGAATAGTATGAGCCAGCAAGAGCTGCAGCAGTCTCCTATGTATTCGTCTCAAAACAGCATGGCAGGAATCCAGGGAACTGCTTCTCCTCCACAGCAACAAGCTTCTTTATTCCACAATGCAGCAGGAGGTGCTATCAATCAGCTGCAGAATTCTCCTGCTTCATCTCAGCAAACATCAGGAATATTCCTGTTTGGCATTCAAAACAGTAAGTGACAGATGCCCGATTCTGAGTTTACAATTTAGAGGAGCTACTGATTGGTGTCTGCAGGACAGTGATAACTCAATTCTAAGGTATTATAAAGAATTGAAATATTCTGGAGTGAGTAACATGGCGCCTCAATTGAGAATATACATACTCAACATGGTGCTCTGAATGTTGCTTAGCTTAAATACCTGTTGGTTGTCTTACACTTAGGATTAACATGTGACAAAACATCTTACGTATGTGTATATCTATACAGAAATAAGTATCTATATGGTATATTCTAGAAATACTATTAATAACTCTATACAAATATTTACATAAAATACATATACACACATGGTAAAGGGTTATGCTTTCTTAAGGCAGCTCCACTAATGTTTCTCTTGGTGCATGATGTTTCCACAATGTACACAATGGCTTTCTGGAGGAGGCTCTGGGGAGACTTCAGAGCATCTCCTAGTGCCTAAAAGGGCTAACAGGAAATCCGGAGAGAGGCTTTGGACAAGGGCCTGTATGGACAGGACAAAGGGAATGGCTTTAACCTGCCGAAAGGGAAATTGAGATGAGCTCTTAGGCAGAAGCTCTTCCCTGTGAGGGTGCTGAGGCGCTGGCACAGGGTGCCCAGAGAAGCTGTGGCTGCCCCATCCCTGGCAGTGTTCAAGGCCAGGTTGGACACAGGGGCTTGGAGCAAGCTGCTCCAGTGGAAGGTGTCCCTGCCCATGGCAGGGGTAGGAACTGGATGAGCCTTAAGGTCCTTTCCAACCCAAACCATGCTGTGATTGTATGAGTCAGCACTTGTCTTCTGCTGTGTGTTTTGTTTTTCTTCTAGTTAAGTGTTCTCCTCTGGGGTGTTAATAGTGTTTGGTTATAATACAGTATCCATATATGCAATCTGTAGATGTGGAACCACTGCTCACACCCTGAGGGAGTGGTTAGTAGGAGTGGCTGTGTGAACAAAAGTGCGCATAACTTTTTAGACAGATCATATGTGAAGAAGTTGGCTGGTTCACTGCATGTATTAACCCAGTTTAAATGGTCCCTTGTCCTTCATTTACTGTTTAACAGACTGTGGCCAGCTGCTAACTTCTGGACCAGCGACGTTGCCTGATGAGTTGATGGCTATAAGTCAGCCAGGTCAGCCACAGAGCGAGGGACAAGCAGCCGTGCCAACGCTTCTCTCCCAGCAGATGCCTGAGACATCTCCACTACCTTCAGCTATGGCAGCCAACCAGAATATTGAGAAAATAGATGATCTGCTCGTGTCATTGCAAAACCAGGGGAGCAATATGGCTGGCTCCTTTTAACTAGTCAAGTAAGTGACGTGTTTGGGTTTCTGGGCTCTCTGTTGCCACACAAACTTTTGTTCAGTAGGTCTTTACTTTGAAATGTATCACCATGCCTTATGAAATGTATCACCAGCTAAAATACCAGTTAAGGTTAATTAAGAATATAGTACTGGTGACTAAAATGAACAGTTAATTTATAACAGTCAGAGGTCAGGACTAGATTGAAACTGATGGTTGAGGTTGGTTCTCATTCAGTTGCTGTATGTTTTGTCATCTGCTGTTAGGGTGTAATACTTTATTAGGAAGGAGAGTAGATCATTGATAGCTTGTCAGATAAAAGTATTATGAAATACAACCATAGTTAAAAACTTAAGGCTTATTGAGTAAATAACAACTCAAGTCTGTACTATTCTGAAGTTGTTCCCCGGGTTCCAGTAACATATGTAAAAACAAGTTTTGGTAGAACATGGCATCTATTGAGAGTGTGCAGCATGCTGAGTCTTTGTGAAAACACCATCAGCTGTTACTAGGAAACAGTCCGCTTTTAGAAGGTGCCTTTTCCAGAGAGGTGAAAGAGGCTTTGACTACAAATGAGTACCAGGAACCAGGAGGTCTCTGGAATATAGTATTGTCCACAGTGTGTAACTTTGCTCTAGTTAACTGTGTGGCTGTCCTAAATTCCCTGTAAGTTTTGCTTAAGCAATACACTTCATTTTCTAATCTGAACTGTTTTGTATATGAAGTTATGAACTGTGGAAGGCAAGTAATGCTACTCTGTGAAAGAGTGCTGCATTCTGTTAGTTACATGTTTGCTGGTGAGCAGCACTTCCAATATGAAGGAACTAAACTGAATTAAGGGTATGGCTTTTGTTATTTTTTAACTGTTTTGCTTGCCTGTTTTTTTCCTGCAGAAATTCTGTGAAGAAAAAAGTGATGATTTCACAGATCCTCTCAGACCTTCCAGCTCTGGATTAGGTTGTGTGGAACTGATTGCTTTTGTCAAAGAGTAGCCCTCCTTTTTAAAGAGCACACACATGGCCAATTGCAGCATCTAGCACCTAAGGCTATGAGCATAGTATTTGGGATTTGTAGTGCCAATAATGCTGAAAAGTTATGCTTTGTTTTACTAGGGCATGGGATTGTACTGTTACCAGATTCCTAAACCTCATTAACAGTGGGGTGCTCTTTGAATTTAAAGCATATCTGATCAGCTATTATTGCTGGTAGAAGGTAACACATGTCACCACGTTTACTATTGTTTCCTCTTCTTCCTTCTTTACATCTCCTCTTTTGACTAGAAAAGCTTGTGAAGTAGAAACTTCAAATGCCTGTGCCATGAGCCACAACTCATAGCTGTCAGTCAGTGAAGGGGATCATGTTTTAGAGTTGTGTGGGAGACCTAATACTGCAATTTGCTAATTGCAGTAGGCAGCAATGACAAATATTGATAACTGTAATCAACAAGCGGAGAAATTGTTCGCTTCTGTAGATAGCCAGAGGTGGGTGCTTCCCATCTGCAGATGTGATTAACGGTTCTCCATGTCTCTTACATGTAACTTGTACATGGGGCAAGGGTTTGGTGACTCTTAACAAAATGAAGGAATGAAGAACTTTCTGTTTTGCTCTTAAAATCTTACCCTCTAAAATACCTTGTAAAGAGCATTCTGCCTGGCTGAGGAAAGAACTCTGTGTCTCTGACTGGATGGGTTAGAACTCTGTAAAGCTGCATTAACCATTCTCAAACCAGTCTTCTCCCTTCCACTCTTTTCATGGTTTTCCTTCTCTCTTCCCAAGTTTCATATTGTGTTTTAATATCTTACTGGTTTTAAATACCAGAAGCGGCTTTTAGGAATCCATGGCATTAAATTGCTTAGTCAGTGAAAGCTTTGACAAATAATCAAGGATTAAGGAGAGAGGAATATCTCTACCACCTTCTAAATGCAGGAACCCCCCTTAATCAGGGTTTTTCCAGCTGTTATTGATGTGAATCTTCAGCTTGACTTTACTCCAAGTAGGGGACAAATTACATCATTTTTAAGCATTCTGGAAAATTTCACTTCATTCTGAGCTGTTCCATCTTCGTAGTGTAGTGAGCTCACTGCAGTTTGGAAGTGATTTTTTTTGTTTCCACCTACCAACAGTCCCCCAAGTCTAGTTTCTAGATTGTCGTGTTTCAATTTAAAAAAGAAAAAGAAAGCATTGACGGATGTTACAGAATGTAAGAACAACCCACTCCAGACCATGCAGTTGTATTGTGAGGCGTGTGCATTTTTGGGTGCTCCAACTATCCGAACAGTTTTGTGAATGTTCACTACAGCCTCATTCAGATCTTTGTTTCTTCTTCTGCACGTAGAAAGCTGTTGCTGCCTTTAGAGCCAGACAGCTGTCATGTATGGCGATTATGCCTTGGTAGAGTGTAGTTGGTATCATGTCATTTTACACTTTTGTTATTTTCAATAACAAAGACTAGTCTGTAAACGGTTTTTTAAGTTTCTCTAGTCTGTTTACTGTGTGTTTTTTTTCCCTTAACTCGTGTGCTTAGTTGAGCCATGTAGAGTTTTTGTTTGTTTAATGGATTTTCCCGTTTGTCAGTCTGTCCTACCGTTCACTTTCTCTTTCTGTCTCTCTCTTTCTCTCTCTCATTGAGAGGCATTGAATTACGTTTTCAGTAGTAAGGCTTCTTGCCGATATGAAGGGAACTTTTCAGAAAGAGACCTGCTCTGGGTCATTTAATTTTGAATACAGTTTTCAATCGTTCAAGTTTTGGATGGTTTATATCTAATGTGTGTTTCATTTTTTTGGAAAGCTATATTTTGTATTTAGGAAATGGTATACTATTTTGCTATTTGTACTGAGTGAGTACATTGGCATAAATATAAAAATTTATATATATACATATATATAAAATATTCTTTTTGCCACACATTTTTGTGGTAAATTTGTGAGTTTGTCTGATGTTCTACCACAACGTGGCGTCTGATAACAGTGGGGTGGGGTGGGGTTTGTTATGTCTTTATTGAGTATTTAAGTACTTTTTGCAACATAAATAACTTGTTCATCTCTCGCCATTCCATCAGGCATTTTATTGTTCCAACTGGCTGTGAGAAGCTTCCCTGTATGTTTTGATGTGTCTGTCACTCAGCAATACAATCTAGCAAGGAAACCTGTAGGCATTTAGGCATATATAAAGTAACAGGGTTTCATTCAGGATGAGCCATTCAGCTTTTATCCACTATCACTGTCTATTTAATATTTTTGTTATTAGCGCCTCTGTGTTTTAACTCTTAATTTATGATTATGCTAAAATGTTTAAAATTTTAATCATGATAAATACAATTCCCTGCTTCCTAGTGTCCACAGCTGCTTTAACCCTGAACCATACTTTTTCTTTCTGTGATTTATTTCTTATATCCTGCTAAGACAAGATATTAACAATATCGTTACGGTTCATGACATGAAAGCAGCAATCTAAATGCTATTTGAGGCTATGTAGAAGGCAGAATTATGGACCGAAGCAACTTCCAGATGCTCATGGAAGTCAATAGCCAGTTATTTGAAAATGAACTAGTGGCTTTTTCAGGATCACAGTCCCAGGACAAGCTGCTAGGTGTCGTCCAGGGCCTTCGTACACAGAAGAAGTAACAGGAATGATAAATTCACTTGTGTGCTGCTTCAGTTCGTTCCGTTGTTCCAAAGGGGTGTATCCTTACGTGGAAGTGGTATGGTTGGTCAGTGCCAAGTCACCAGGGACCAATTCTCCATTTAACAAACTGGGTGTCCAAAAGAGAACTTCATACCAAGACTGCTACAGCTCCAGGGGAAGGGTATGTCTGAATTGTGTGCATGTTTTGGGTCGCTCATGAAGAGATGAGAAAAAAATGTAAAATAAATAATAAGGGCTGTGCTATCAGGTTTTTCACTTCTGGATAACACCTTTTCTTGTGTTAAACTTATTGTGTTCATTTTAGGTCAGTGTTTAAATGTACAACACTTGGAACATGTGATTTGGATACAAAAAGTATTTGTCTTCTGAATAAAGAGATTGCTCAGTGGTTGATCAGTGCTTGCAGAGAGCTGTTACAGAAGATAAAGAGAGGCTTGATAAGCCAGTAAAGAGCTTAAAGGCGCTGCAGGATTTCATGGCAGAAAGACCCAAGAACAGTGTGAGCCACATCTGTATTTTATCAATCCTGAACATTTACTTTTGGCATTTAAGCATTTAGTATTGATAATTGGAGCTTACTCTGATATTTTTTCTTTTATTTTAATCCCATCTTCTCTGTATTTAGTCTTTTGCATGCTCACTCTGCATTGCCTAGGATCTGTGAGTAGATGGATGGAACGTTCCCTGCAGAGATGAGGTGGTGGCATCATGTCTAGTCCATTTTGGGTGAGAAAGAAGATACTGAGATACTGGTCTCTATAAATTTAGAGTTCCCAATGACATTACTCTAAAGGGGAAGTTACGTCATATCCACAGAGCAGCAATAAAGTGTAGAAGACACTACTAGGTGAACATAGAAAACTGTAGAGCTGCATTGCTGGGATGGGTTTTAAGTGACTTGTTTTTTTTGGCTGCCTTAAGGTCACTTCTGAAAGAACTATTAAGTCTAAACCTCCATGTTCATAGTTGGCTTTACCCTTGAGCATTTGCCTCTTAACACACCCGTGGTCCACTCTGCACAGCATCTGAGGAGTGTTGGCTTCACAGAACACCCATTTTTTGGTACAGGTTAAAATCTGGGGAGATTTAACCTGCCTGCTGCCAGTCATGACCGCTGCATGCGTTCTTTTGGCTGCTTATATGCTGGGTGTACACATATATATATATGAGAATTGTATGAATAGCCCGTAATACACAGTTACCAGCTAAGCATCTCCTCTGGCAGGAAGTTATTGCTTCTTTGTGCTTAATTAGCAAGTCCTTTCTTGTTATTAATTGCCTCCTCACTGTCTGATTTTTCAGCAGTTATTCAAGCCAAGTGCTTTGTTATTATTTTAATGTAAAAGTAGTTCCAGAAATTATTTCAGGCTTGCTGTTTCAAAGTAGATGTTTAATCACCAATCATTTCATTATAATTACTTTTAATTCCTGATAGGGTAGTTACTTCCTACATAGTTCTAAGATAGAATAAAGCATGAGCAGTTCAGCATTTGTCACTTTGGCAGATTTTTTAACTGGAAAAACTGAGAGTCTGGGCAGCTGTTATCAGTGGACATTCCCCTAATTTAGATAAGTTGATTTGTTTGTATTTGTTTACTTTTTAAGCTTCTATTGTGATTTTGGTTTAGGATGTAGTTTCTAAATAGAAAACTTGTCTGAACGTATTTTCTGTTACCTTTCCAGAGTCTTCAGAAATACTACTAATCAATTCAGAAGCTTGTATTTGACTTAAAACATAGTTTAAATCATTATTTGAGTAGCAGGAAAGATGATTTATTAAAAAACAAAATCTGAAAGTTGTTACTGGACTAAAAAAGCTGCACATGGTTTCCTCTAAGGGTACGTTCGTCAAGTCAGAAAAGAGTTTGCCTGTCAGTGTTTGACTCTCTGCGGTGCCTCTGTCTGGTAAACTGGGGCTGCTTTTTCAGAGTAATTCCAGGAAAGGAGTATGACGGATTACAGACAGGGACAGAGGCAAGAACAAGGAGAATGAATTGCTTTATGTGCTCTGAGCTGTGAGTTGTGGGTGGAAGGTGAGAAGAACTATTGATCACTGTTGATTTTTCATTAGTGCAGTGCTTATTTTCAAGGAATAGGTGTTTGTTGTGTTCTGGAGGACTGGTGGCAGCTCCAGTCTTTTAGCAGCTAAAAGGAAAGCACTGAGATACTTTGCTTGATGGGTTTGTTTTAATTTGGAGCAGTTTTTTGAGGTAGATTGTGAGCTGTTGAAATGGGTTAGGTGCTGTTTAAATACAAGGAAATGTTGTAGCAGCAGATAAACTCTGGTAGAAGTGTACTTGTAAAACTCTCTAATGGAGTTTGGGGCTCTTGAGGGGTCACGCAGGAGGGAGCAGCTTTTTCTTTCTTACAGTCTATATAAGTCTGTAAATAGGCAATGCCTGTATATTCTAGGATTATATATATATGTATATAGAGGAATCATATCTATTATATATAAATAATTAGTAGACATGTGCATAGAATACTGTTATATTTACATTTTCATAAACCTGAAATACTATTCCTTAGTATGAGGTCATTTACTGAGGGCTGTGTAGTAACTCAGCAAGTTTGCCGATGACACCAAGCTGTGTGGTTCGGTTGATACCCTGGAGGGAAGGAATGCCATCCAGAGGGACCTTGACACGCTTGTGAGGTGGGCTGATGCCAACCTCATGGAGTTTAACCATGCCAAGTGCAAGGTCCTACACCTGGGTCAGAGCAATCCCAGGCACAGCTACAGGTTGGGCAGAGAAGAGATTCAGAGCAGCCCTGCAGAGAAGGACTTGGGGGTGTTGGTGGATGAGAAAATGAACGTGAGCCGACTTCAGCGTGCGCTCGCAGCCCAGAAAGCAACCGTATGCTGGGCTGCATCAAAAGGAGCGTGACCAGCAGGTCGAAGGAGGTGATCCTGCCCCTCTACTCTGCTCTTGTGAGACCTCACCTGGAGCATTGTGTGCAGTTCTGGTGTCCTCAACATAAAAAGGACATGGAACTGTTGGAACAAGTCCAGAGGAGGCCACGAGGATGATCAGGGGACTGGAGCACCTCCCGTATGAAGACAGGCTGAGAGAGTTGGGGCTGTTCAGCCTGGGGAAGAGAAGGCTGCGTGGAGACCTCAAGAGCAGCCTTCCAGTATCTGAAGGGGATCTATAAGGATGCTGGGGAGGGACTCTTCATTAGGGACTGTAGTGATAGGACAAGGGGTAACGGGTTAAAACTTAAACAGGGGAAATTTAGACTGGATATAAGGAAGAAGTTCTTTACTGTGAGGGTGGTGAGGCACTGGAATGGGTTGCCCAGGGAAGCTGTGAATGCTCCATCCCTGGCAGTGTTCAAGGCCAGGTTGGACGAGGCCTTGGGTGTGACATGGTTTAGTGTGGGGTGTCCCTGCCTATGGCAGTGGGGTTGGAACTTGATGATCTTAAGGTCCTTTCCAACCCTAACTATTCTGTGATTCTGTAACTCAGTAGTAGTTGTCTGAACACCTTTGAGTACTGTACATGTGGTGCTGTTGGTAGTGTTGCTCTGCTTGTGAACGTCACTGATAGCTGCGGGTTGGAAGGAGCTGTTCACTTTTGTACTTTTGTATGTTTTTAGTCATAATTTCAGCTGTGGGGTGGTGAAGTGAAGCAGTCAAACTGGCAGCCCTGGGCAGAGCTGTCACTGGATGGACTCTGGGGATGTGGCAGTGGCATGGGCTGTCTGCATGTGTGCCTGCCCTGCCAGCTTTCCATGGGTGACTCCTGACCTGGGGACCTTTTCCCATTATCAGTCTCCCACAGCTCATGCAGGTAGGGAATGGTGGTGGCTGTGTTGCTCTGGAGGAGCTGGGCTGACACCAGCAGTTCTCTCCTGGTGGATTACAGTTGTTGCATAGCAAAGGACCTGGCTGCAGCTCAGCTGGGTTTTCTTGTGGATTGGGAAGGTGAAGCTTAATCTGGTCACTCCCATTTCTTGTCATAAAGGCAGGCATCTTTATTTTCTTTATGACTTTTTACTGCGACAGTCCTTACCTAGAAAACTCCGTGGAAGCTGATGAGAGCTCCCCTTGGTTTCTGGGCATGAGGAGGGACCCTGTGCACTGATCTCTGACTTAGATTCTGTGAGGAGCTGAACTTTCTCAAAGAAATCCAGATTGTTGTGTCACTGGTGTGTATTTTATCCACCAGGACCAGGATGACAAATCAGGTGCAGTTTGACACAAGGTTGATTAATGGATGTTGTTGTCTGGTACAGGCTCTATCCAAGCACCTCTGCCAAACTGAAAAGAATGCCCTGGTTTCCTCTCTTTGAGGCATCATGTTGCAGGTCTCATTTTTGCTGTTTCAGAGATCTGTAATTTTTGCTGTTACAGTTCATCAGATTGCCTCACAATATTCAAGTGTACTGGGGGTGAGGAATCCCAGAACTGCCTTGCTTGCTGTGGGACATTCACCAACACTCTGCTTGTTTGACTCCAAACTTCCACCACTCAGCAGCAGCCCACTGTGATATGCTCCAGTTGTGTGTGTTTGCTCCAGGACTCAGATGAGCCAAGGGCCCTGTGTAGATGTCCATGACTTCACTGTGGTCCCTGAAGCTGGGGACAAGCTGACCCGAGTGCTCCTTGTTCAGGAGCGTGGCTGTGCCGAGGTTGGGGTAACAGGGCTTGGGGGAAGCTCCCTTTTGGAAGGATTGAGAGCAGTGCCTCGGGGTTGTTGCAGAACTGGGCACACACTCCCGTGTCCTGCTTAGTCCACAGTATTCCTGAAGCCTTTTTATTGTGGGCGCGATTTGAAATACTTATGTTTGAGCTCCTTATTAAGGAGTAAGCTCCAACAAACCTTGAGAGCAGAGCTTTCTACCTCTGTCACTAGCTGCATCTTGGAGTGGCTTTACCCACCTTTCTGCCATGTGTTCCTGGGGCACCGGTCAACTGCTGAGCTGCCTCTTCCACTGTCCTGCAATGTGAAAGTAGCACCAGATATTCCTTTGTGCATTTCTGTGTATATGGCTTTCGTAGTTGGGGGTTTTCCAAGCACTGATACCCAGTGTTTTCAGTTTGTTCTATGAGGGGATATTTTATTTGCATCTATGTTTTTAGCTATCCTGTGATAACTTGTTGAATATTAAAAAACAAAAATATTTTGCTTCTATTGGGACATTTGTATACTCGCAACTATATTTCTGTAAACAGCTGCAGTCAAGAATAAAATAATGAAAGTTTTCATTTTGCAGTGTAAAGTCTTCTTGTGTTTTTTTTTACAAGAGCATTGCTCTGCTGGGAGAAAACGCTGTTCCTCAGTATGGAATGGACCTGCCTGGGAACCAATGGAGCTGGGTCAGGAAGTACTGGGATGACAAGAGCCTGTGCCAGCCAAGTGTCCCACTGGAGCTGCTGCATGAGAAAAGGCACCATGTCACACCTGTGTTCCTTCTTCACTTTGTGGCACTGAGTCCAAAGTAAGCTTTGGGCCGCGCTGCTGCAACCCTAGCCTGCAAATGACCCAGTGTTCCAGGGTGCAATGCAGAGGGCTCCCTGGGATGGTGCAGAGCTCCTCTGCCTGATGGAGGTGATGCCAGAAATCCTAGGCCAAGGTAATGGGAGTTACACCCCTCATCTGCACCCATGGTGTGTTTATGCTCATGTGCTACAAACACCCCTGAGTTGCTGAGGCTCAGTATGTGTCCCCTTCCTGCTGCCCCCAGCAGGAAGACTTGCCTCCATTGGGACTGTGGGGTCCAGCAGCCAGTTGGTCATGTAAAAAACTACACCAGCGTAAGAAGCAGCTGCAGTTACCCCAGAGCTGGGCAGAACGTTTCACTGCCAAAGACGTAAGCAGATTTATCCAAAAGGCTTTCCCCAGCCTGTACCACTGCCCCAGCACCTCTCCCTTCAGACCTGCACCCACTGCCAGGGTCAGATGTGGCTGTGCCGCAGTGGGGCAAATGTAACCCACTGACATCTACCCTTCTGGAGCTGCTGACCCTGCTGCAGGCACTTGCTACCCACTGGCCTTGTTAGTGCCAGGGGACAAAAGAAAACGCCCCAAGAAACCCTCCCAGCCTCCTCTGTCTCTCGAGGCTCACAGAAAGGCACATGCCAGCCTCTAAGCCCAGCCCAGGCAGACGCAGACACAAAACTGAACCACGGTGCTGTGGGATTTGGTGTTTATTAGCAACACAGCCATGGCTTGCGGGGTCCAGGGAATCGAGCAAGGAAGCCAGTACCTTCCTGCCAGGCTATCCAGGCTGGAGCTTCCCCAACAATGTCATGCCCCGGTCACGGCTGCTCTTTGCGCATCAGAGAAGCGTGGAAGTAAAGGCCCAGCCCCTCCGCAGGGCAGCTGCCTCTTCCTAAAGCCATCAGCAGCAACACGCAGGGGGCTCATCCTTCCCTCGCAGCAGCGGCTGCAGGGACCCCTCCGAACACTCACCGCCTCTTCACAAACTTCTTGGTGACGGCGTTGGGGTTGAGGCGCCGCCTGCCCGCGCCCAGCGCCGCGTCCCGGATCTGCAGGTTGGCCGCACGGCTGTAGACGTCATTCTCGGCAAAGGGCGAGGCCCCGGCGATGTAGTCGGGGTCGAAGACATTGGTTTTCTGCCTGGCCTTGCGGGACAGGCGCTGCTGCGGGAAGGGCTGGTCAGCCACCAGGTGAGGGTTGTTGGCGTGCTTTCCCCCGCGTGGCGCTGGCAGCGGGTACTGCAAGGGAGAAGCAGTTTTAAGCATGCTTTAGGGGCGGCTTGTCACCTTCAGGGACTCAAAGGTGGCCACAGGCCACTAGGGATGAGCTGAACAAATTAAGCTCAAAAGCCATGGGGTTGAGTCTGACATCTGGAGGACAATCACAGCTTCACTTCGATAGCCATGAGCTGATGGTTCCCTCCAAACCCCCCCAGCCACAGGCCAGGCTCTTGTCCCAGGACCCAGCATGTGAGGTACAGGCACTCACCCTGAGCCCTCGGGGGTTCAGCACCTTGGGGTTGCGGGAGAAGTGCATGTGGAGGCTTCCATCATCACTGACACTCACTGCGACCTTCTTCAGGGTCTTGTTACCACAGTGGGGACAGAAAACCTTAGTCATGTCCGAAGTGGTCCTGCAAGACAGGGGCACAGGGGTTTAGTACTCCCCAGGCCATAGAATATGGGATCATCCAAGTAACCTGTAGTGATAGGACAAGGGGTGATGGGTTTAAGCTTAAACAGTAGAAGTTCAGGTTAGATCTAAGGCAGAAGCTCCTCCCTGTGAGGGTGCTGAGGCGCTGGCGCAGGGTGCCCAGAGAAGCTGTGGCTGCCCCATCCCTGGCAGTGTTCAAGGCCAGGTTGGACACAGGGGCTTGGAGCAAGCTGCTCTAGTGGAAGGGGTCCCTGCCCTTGGCAGGGGTTGGAGCTGGGTGAGCTTTAAGGTCCTTTCAAACATACACCATTAGATCAGTCTATAATTCTAAGCACTATGCCAAGGGCAGAGCAGCTCTGCACAACCACACTCACCTGAAGCAGCCGTGGCAGCGCAGGATGTAGCTCCTGGCCTGGCGGATCAACATGCCATTCACTGCCAGCACGTGGAGGCCCATCTGCAGCAGCACGTTCTGCAATAAGGAGGGAGAGACCAGGATGCTCTGAGCTGGGTCTGCTGGGACCCTTCACTGGGATCTACCAGCCCAAGGAAGACAGAGGACAATGGGAGCAACACCAATGGGCTTTGTAATGGGGCCTCTGCCACAGAGAGAAGGGCATGGTTTTAAGGTAAAAGAGGCTGTCAGTGCTCAGCCTGTCCAGGTGCTCCTCTGTCTGCTCACACTGGTTTAACCAGCCCAGAGGTTTGAGTAGTTTTGAGAATCCACCAGCCCCACACATGCCTGAGGCTCGAGTTGTCCCATGGAAGACAGGACTGGCACCCACCTGCATGGCGAAGTCCGTGGTGACGCAACCGACCTGGATGCCATTAGGAGCAGTATCACAGTGCCCCGTGTCCTGCTGGACCTGCTTAAGGTTGCTGGGTGTTATCCAGCCCTCATCATCGCTCTCCTCATCTTCCTCTTCATCAGCACTGGCCTCATGCTCAGACCTCCGGTGCTCCTCAGTGGTCTCTGGGCTAACAGAGATGGCTTGAGCGCTCTGCAGTGGAAGATGACGGCAGTCAGTGATGGCACACGCAGTGGAGGAGGTGGGAAAGGCCAGCTAGACACTAGGGTGGCTTGGACAGCAAGGAGAGGAGGCCGTGGGTCTCACCAGCAGCTCCTGCAGCTCCTCCTCGATGCTGGGCAGGGGCACTCGCCAGTACAGGAAGGAGCTGAACTCGTAATTCTCGGATGGGGCTGTGCTGCCCTCAGGGCTTGGCTGGTGCTGCCCCTTCCCAGGGTGCTTGTGCTGTGGAGGACACATGACAAGGGGATCACTTGCTCGCTACTGCCGGGGGGGATCTGCAGGACTGCACCCCATCCCCTTCCTTGGAGCACTGCAGCCCCGTCCCTTACCTTGGAGGGCAGGTGGAAGCCAGCGAGGTGTATGGGGGCCTCGGGGTGCCGCGGGGTGGAGCTGAGCTGCACCTGGGGAGGGAGCAGGGGGTTGGGGGAGTGCTCCAGGGATGGGGTCACATCCCTGGGGACGGGGGACACGGACCCACCTTGTCCTGGGGCTCCCAGCGGAGGCAGCCGGGGCCCTCGGTCTCAGCCTGCAGCTGGCAGGTGAGGGCGAGAACCTGCAGGTCAGCGGCCGAGAGGCTGGGGTAGTCCCCGGTCTTCTTGGAGAATTCGGTCACTGCAGGAGGGAAGAAGGGGAAGGGAAGAAAAGGGAGAAAGGAAACAAAAGGGGAAGGAAAAGAGAAGGGAGAAGGTAAGGGAAGGAGAAAAAGAGAAGGGAGGGGAAAGGGAAAGAAAGTGGGAAAAGGAAGGGAAATGGGAAAAGGAAGGAGCGGAGCGGCCGGGCCGGGCCGCAGGCAGCGGGGCCGCCCCGAGGCGCAGAGAGGTCCGGTCCGGTCCGGGACTCACCGAGGCGCAGGAGGTCGGGCCGCGGGCGGCGCAGGTGCAGCTCGCAGGGCAGCGCGGCCAGGCGGCGGCGCGTGGGCCGGTCCCGGATCTCGGCCAGCACCTCGGGCACCGTGTACAGGCTCTGCGCCAGGTCCTGCGGGCAGCGCCGTCAGCGCGGGGCCGGCACCGGCACCCCCCGGCCCCGGGCACCCCCCGGCCCCCTCCCGGTACCTGCAGCGGGGCCGCGCTCAGGAACGCGCCGGTGTCGGCCACGACGTGCGCCACGCGCGCCATGCCCAAGAGCCGCCGCGCTGCACGCCGGGAGATGTAGTCCTGCGCTGAGCACGCCGGAAACGGCGGCCTCCGCCGGCCGCGTGACCGCTTCCGGGCCGTGCGGTCAGGTGACCGGTTGGTGTCATATGACGGTGGACGGTGGAGACGGAAGCGGGAGTGGAGCCGTCGCTGGTAACTCGGGGGACGGGACGGGACGGGACGGGACGGGACGGGGCGGGGCGGGGCGGGGCGGGGCTGGGATTCGCTTCCCTTCCTGTATGGCTCGGTCCCGCTCCGGAGCTCCCGCCCCGTGGTCAGGGCCCGATGGGGCGCTCCTGGAGCCGCTCCGCTGCGGGCTGTGCTCCGGTACCGGCTTGGCGAGGTGAGGTCCTGCCCGGGGCGGCACGGCCCGTGGGAAGGGTTTCCCCGGCCGCCGCCTGCCCCTCGCAGCGTCCGCGGGCGAGGAGAGCGGAGTTTGGCTTTGGCCGGTGCGCTCTGCCACTTGCCGCCCTCTCCCGCGGTCGTCGCTGCCCCTCCCGGCTGCGTGTGGGGCGAACCTGCCCCGAGGCAGAGCCCGGCGGGGTGCCGCGGTTGCTGCCGTCGCTCTGTGCCCTCGCGTTCGCGCGGAGGCGCAGGGCTGCCCGCTGCCCCGGGAGGCGAGGCCGGGCACCGGCGCGGGAAGCCAGGCAGGGGAAGCTGGGGAGGGGCGCCCCTGGTCTTTGCAAGAGGGAAACCTGCAGGCGTGGGGGCACAGGGCGGCTCGGAGCAGGGAGCAGAGTGGGTCAGAGTGGAAAGCTGTGCCTGGGCATCGGCCCTGAGCACAGAGGGGTCCTGTGGAGGTTGAGAGGCGTTTAATGTGACCCAGGACATCAAAGCAAGCAACAGAGAAAGGATACAGGATCAGGAAAAGAAAAATTAGGAAGAGCCAAGATTAAGAGGGAAAAAAGGATAGACCCAGCCCGAATGGGACAGGTCTCTGATGGCATCTTTTGTGGGAGGATGCAGTGAGGAAACCGGTGGGTGGGTCCTGGGGTCTCACATACCGTGGGATGTTCAGGCTGGTTTGTAGGGCTGTCACAGTGGTCCCTGCTGTGGGGCCTTGGCCCTTACAACAATACCTGAGGTGCAGGTCACTAATGGTGGTGTGAGAAAGGCCCCAAAGGACAAGTTTGCTGTTGGTCAGCCCCGGGGCCTGGTCAGAGCCTGGTGCAGGAGGGTTACCTGTGCCTGGCTGTGTTCTGTGGGTCTTCTTAATGGTGTTAATGAAGTAAGTGGTGATGTGAAGCTGGGGAATAAAAACAAACTCAGGAATAACAATAACCTAGGGGAAGGTTGGGGTGATCTGCGGGCTGGGATAATTGGAGTAGAAGTAACCATAGTAAGAGCAAGTACAATTAGTCTTGTGTCAGCTCTCCCCACTGGGGAGCAGGTGGGATCAGCATGTGCTAGTGAGCGTTCTGCCACCTCCTGCTCTGAGACAGGGGCCATTGTGGCACCAAGTGAGGTTTTCCAGGCAGAGGCAGGGATTGTTCCAGGCACTGGCTGGCTCTGGGCTGAGCATGGGGTGCTGTGCAGGTTTGCTGTGCTGAGGGGGTGAGGGGCTGGCATGGTGAGGGGCTGGAGAGTGGAGACCCTGGTTTGTGAGAGAGGATTAAATAAGGATCCTGGCTTTGGGATGAAGCTTGGTTAAGTCTAATGATGTGGGGAGAGAGCAGGAATGAGAGTGAGACTCCTCCGCAAGGAGGGAGCTGGTAGAGGCTGGAATGTTGGAGATGCTCTTATCTCCTTTCTGGGTTTTTATCCCAGTCAGGTTGGCCGGTGCCCCAGCTGAGGCTGGGTAGGAGTGTTGACCTTGGTTTGGTGGCTGTGGGGGAGGCTCAGATTTGGCCTTGTCACTGCCCCTGACAACACGATTGAGGACCCCCTTTGCTTCTGCCCAGGGGTGGACAGCGAATGCCCCCATCTGCCCCACTGTGTCGGGGGCTTGTGCAGACAGGGACCCTCTGCTCTGTGACCCTGATACCCACCACAGCCACATCCTCTCTAGCTGCTCAGCCTGGGGAGTGCAGAGAGGAGGGGTGCTGCCCGCAGGCTCAGGAGGACGGGGCGAGTCAATAGCTGCTCCTGCGGTCCCAGACCGAGCACCTCGTGCTTCTGCATGATACGTGACCTCATCCTCCTGCTCCCTGCTCGGTTCTTTCGGCCGAGCCCCGTGACCTGCCGGGTGCTGCAGCCTGCCTCCTTCCTGCCTGCTCCCTGTCCTGGTGACTGACTCCAGGGGGGAGCTGCAGCCGGAGGGGCAGGGGGAAGCGCTGTGCCTGTGGTGAGTGTGGCGTGGCGCCGGAGAGCAAGGAAGTGGTGAGTGCTTGAGGAAGTGGAGGTCTGGGCTTGCAGGCGGCTCTGCAGTGTGATCCTTCCCTGTGTTCAGAGCAGCCGCGGTCCCCGTCCCGTCCACGCTGTGTTAGAGTAGATGGGACTGATCTTCCCGTGGGACTTTGCTGCCAGTGAGAGGCCCGGGCTGTCCGTGAGGATGTGGCTGCTTCCCCGTGCTGTGACTGTGCCTTCCTCTATTCTGCTGGTGTCACTGCACTGTCCTTCCGGAGAGATCCCCTGCGTGGTGGCCGTGCAGGCTGCTGGGGAGCCGATGTCGCTGCTCCGGAGCACAGAGCAGGGTGTCAGACCGTGTTTTGGGAGCTCCTCATGCTGGCTGTGATCAGCAGCGACCTTTGGGTCGGGGTGAGCTGCAGCCACCAAAATGAGGTGTCCAAAGGGCTGGCACTGCCCAGCCTGGCTCGGATCTCCTCAGGCCACGGCAGTGTGGTTGAGGAGGGGTTTGTCTCCCTGAGGCCACAGTATTGCCATTGCCTCTGGTGAAGGGCTGATTTACCAGCAGCGAGAGGGAACCTGTGTTCACCGGGCATGTGCCTGTCCATTGCCAAGTCTCCCCACCAAGTGGGTCACTTGCAATGATACCGTGGCTACATTTGGGCTCAGAGGGGACCCCAGTGAAGCTCTGGCTTCTGCACGCAGTGGGACTGGTGCTGAGGGCTCTCTTCTCTCTCTGCTTCCAGACAGGGGTGATGCCATGGCCGCTGCAAGCTCCAGCAGGGCCAGGGCTGGGCCACCCTGTGAGAGGTACCAGCTCGCTGTGAAAGGTAGGTGCTGCTGCCCCAGCGAGGTGGGGCCGAGCCCCGTGCTGGGGAACCTGGATTTGGGTGCTTCTGGTCTGGGTGTGTGGGAGACCTTCGGGGGGAGCCGGGGATGGGCATGGCGGCGCTGCCTTGTGCCCCATGGACGGCCGGGTGAGCGGGGCGGCCATCGGCTGCGCTGTGCTGCTTCCGCCCCCCCCGTCTGCCGCGGGGACCTGGGTCCGTGGCCCTGCCAGGGCTGCAGTGGCCGCGAGGTGGCTCCCGACTCCTGGAGCTGCGGCCCCAGCTCAGCCCCACAGCGGGCACCGCTGGGATGGGGGGCAGCTGAACCGCACCCGCTGGGTGCCTCAACCCAGCGGCTCCGCAGAGCCCCCTTGTCCCCCAGCCTTGCTCCCAAGCGCTGGGGTAGGGCAGTGTCTGTGGGGACTGTGATACTCCTGCAGCCTTCGCGTGTGGGGCTGAGCTCTGTGTGTGTAGCTGGGGACCGGCAGTTATCAGGGGCTGGTGATGGGAGCACCCACATCAGACCATTGCTGCCATGAGGTTGCTGCCATTGCTTCCCCTTCTTCCAAAAGCACCCTGAGCTGGCAGAGACAGGGAGGAGTGTGTGGGGCAGCAGACAGGGTCTCCCATATGGCTTCCTGACTCCGTCTACCCTCCTATCCAGTGGTGTCCCTGAGGCCCAAGGTGAACAGCCGCCCATCGCGGATGACCTGCTATGTGGAGGTGACAGGCGACGGGCTGCCCAGTGAGACCAAGAAGACTGGGAAGCAGATTGGGAGCTCTGAGGTGCTGTGGAACGAGATCCTCATCCTGTAAGTCCTCATCCTGTGAGCCCCTGGCATGGGGCTGGTGCTAGGACTGGCCCTGTGTTCCCTGTAACCCTCTGTGTATCCTCGGTGCTGTCTGGTGTAACCCTCTGCGCTATCGGCTGGGGCCACTCGGGTGTCAGAGATCATTGCCCCTAGATAAGGATGCTGCAAAGGGCAGCCAGGCTGGGAGGGCCACTGTGGGGGATGTTTCCCATTGCCCTATGCCCTTGCCTGCCTCCTTCTGCTCCCTGGATTTGGCCTGGCACTACCCCTTCCCTGAGCATGGAATGGGTTGGGACCACAGCGATGACCCCGTTCTTTGGTCTCTGCAGGAACGTCACGGCTCAGAGCCACTTGGACCTGAAGGTGTGGAGCTGCCATACCCTGAGGAATGAGCTCCTGGGCATGGCCTCCGTCAGCCTCAGCAACCTGCTGAAGAACGGTGGGAAACGTACGTACGAGCCGGACACCATGGGGGCCCAGGCCTCTGCCCTGCCTGGGGTCCTGCCCCTCTCCTGCCCACAGGTGTGTGTGGAGGAAAGGTGGTGGCTGCAGTGGCTCCCGTGCAGCCCCTGCCCCGGGTGGGAACAAGGCACCAGTGTGTGCCCCGTCAGGGCCGGGGTGTGACGGAAGCCGTGCCTGCTCCCTTAGCCAGGGTGCTGCAGCCTCCACGGAAACACAAACCCCGCAGCTATTTGCTGCCATTTGTGGTCTCCAGCGTGTGGCTCGTGACAGCAGCTACAGCATAAAGGCGGCCATTCAGGGCTTGGGCTGGAAAAGGCTCACTCTGTCTTTTCCAAGCACAGCTCTGCTGCTTGTGAGACACAGACCTGGTATTGAGTGGGGAGAGGGGCCTCCTGTGCCCTGGGGGGGATTTGGGGCTGGTTCAGACTGTCCCCAGTGCCAGGGGCTGGGATGAGCTGCTTCCCCTGGCACTATGGAACTGTGAGGTTGTCCCCCTGTGTGGACAGGCTGCTGTGCCCCTGGGTGGCACCTTGTCTTGCTGGGGCAGTGAGGGCTCCATGGGGAGCTGTGCTGCTGCTGCCACTGCCTTCAACTCACA